ACATAACGATCCGGTGATAACGTGGTGACATGATACAGTAAGACATTGGTTTTGCAAGTCTTGAAGTGCAATAAATTCGTCACTGAACTTAACATTTTAAAGACATTTTAGTTTAAAAGAAAAGACGAAGCAAAGAAAACCTTTCCAGTTTCGTCAGCCATGTCTTTGTACCCAGTTAGATCATTGGTTTTAAACTATTAACCACAGTGCGTGTAGTATTTATTGCAATAAAAACCACAAAGGGATAGTTTTTTTTGTAAAATCCTTAGTATTAATAAATAGCACATAGCAACCTCTTTCCCAGGGTCCCTTCCTTCCCGTCCCTACTTAGCAAGAGAGAGATAGACCGACGGGTAGGAGAGAAAACCTGGGAACGGGGTTGTGATAATAGGGGTTATTATAATTATTCATTCAAAATATTTCCCCGATTCTGATTGGCTAAAAGCACACGCATAATTCACCATAACCAGTCACTGATGACCAAATTTGGAAGAATTTTGCGTTTAACGAGGAAATGACGTCAAAAATGCAGCGTTCTTGCAGGTTAAGGCACCGTTAACCGAGAAGACCTGGGGACGAGGTTGAGTTTTTTTGGTTGTGAAAACAAAAAATGGCGGATATTTTACTCGTTTCAAGAGTAAGAACTAGGCGAAATTATAGCAAAAAACACGGCAAGAACAGCAAGAACACAACTCGAAGGGCGACATCTGCTATTTGGAGAATATTTGCTGAGATGAACAACCCTAAACGTGCACTATCGAAGATGAAAATATCGATGGAGGTAGGCATGTTTTAGCTTTGTTTTTAAACTGGGAATTATTTTGAATGAATAATAAGACAATTATTGAAGTCGGCTGTCGTATCATATGAAGAATTATGGAGATCTCGGAGGGTGTTATCCGCCTCGGCCGATAACACCCTCCTCGATCTCCAGAATTCTTCATAAGATACTCAGCCTCATTCATTCATTGTTGAATAAGATGACTGCTCATACCTAATGGGGCCATTGGTTTGTTTTGCAGGTCACACCGTGACATTCACAGGCGTTTTGTATGTTATGATTACTTGGACTTCGTGGTAAACAGGCGCCACAGGAGCTGTTAGGTAAACAAAAAATAACTGGAGAAGCGTTTACACGCGGGGAAACTGGAAATTCGATCGAGTGCAAACTCAAGTTATTCGCTCCATTCCATCTGGAAAGATTCTGAGAATAATTTTTGGCTGTCGTTCACCGGGTAATGATTTTAGTCTCTTTAGCTGATTGCTTGTACTTTGTAACCCTCCCTGCTCCGAGGCCAAATTTAACGGTTGGTTTTTTTTAATAGGATCACGGTTTGAGTAATTGATAAGCAAGATTCCTTGACGATATTCCTAAAACCAACCAACCTATACCACTGATATTAATATTATAAAGGAAATAAAGGGAGATGTAAAGAATCAACCATAAGAGGACACAGAACAAAACAGACGCAAAAACAAACAGTAAATAACTTACCATCGACTTTTGTGCTTCCCTGCACCGTAGAACTGTTGCCTCCATAAACACAGTGATTTTCAGCCCTCACAACAAATGTATACTCTGTCCCAGGGTAAAGATCGGTGATGTTCATTGTTAACGTCGGAGAGTCCGTTTCTTGAATTCCAGTATGCGGTTTAAATTCTGGATAATAATCCTTTGTGCCTTTATAGATTATCTGCGGCATGCATAAATAACTGTTATGTAATTATATGGTTGTCTATAAGGTTACGTTGATATGGCAATGGACGAATTTTCGCTCTGTTCACACGGAACTTTGAACCACTGAGCGTATTGTTAAACTGGCTTCGTGTGTACGGAACACCTACACGCGATAATTTTTAACTGGTCGAAAGTACGTTTGGTGTCAGTATACATATTTACTTTGTATATGATGTCAGAGGACTGGGGTGAAGTGTGTAGTCGGTCTCACAGTTACCTTATTCACTCGCTTGAACGCCGCCTTCGCTAGGTAAGATTTAAACGCTTTGACTAATGAGCACCTTAGGGAACGATTCCAATGAGTGCGATCCTTGCGGTGGATTGCCACGGTCGCGTAAATTTTACTCGCGTAAATAAAATGGACACAAGGTATTAGAAAGATTAAGCATCGCATTTACTGCAAACGGCAAACGTGATATTCAAGTTGAGAAATTTTCAGAATGAGAAATGAGCTGATAAAAACAGCTTAAGACAATTGTTAGGGATCGAATTGGCGTGGACCTACCGATTTTCGTACATGTATGAACAGTAAACAATAAGTAAACGGAAAACTTCGTCACGTGGTACAAAATCACGTTCGCTGTTCGCAGTAAACACGATGCTTACTCTCTTACGCGTGTTAAGCCTAACCCATTCGCCCCTGAACCGCCCGTAACCGCCCGGTGCGGATCCACGTCCTTTCTACCCTTTGTGACGTCATCAGTTTAGTTGTGCAGAGTGAAGAGATCTTTCAAACCATACCAGAATGAGCACAATTCAGTCAAGGACACCGGAGAAAGAGGCAAAAAAAAACCATGTAACATGACCTGAAAATCTCCATGAAAATCTTGTTCCATTGCTCACCTACCTTTCCTTTCACCTAATCCTAAGATCCTAAAAGCTTTCCTAAAAACTATTCCCACCAAAATGAAGCCTACTAAATGCCCAGCAAGAGAAAAAAGAATGAGCCAAGAAAAGCGAAAAAAGAGGGGAGGAGAGAAAGCGAAAAATAAAAGTCAAGACTGCTGTGTCACTTATAAACCCCAAAATTTTGCTTTCTACGCATGCCCGAACTTCGCAAGCTGATATTTTGCATCTGGATCAGAAGGCCGTGAAGTGTACGACCTGTAAACCGGTTTGTGGTAAGTTTTAGCTCTTTATAGCAGGACAGTGGCCAGAAAACCACTCGAGTATCTTCAAAACGCGTTTTTCGGCAAAATCTCCAGGAGCGAATGGGTTAAGAAAAGTACCAAGCTTTTTGAAAAAAATCCCCTTTCAGGATAAATCAACCAAATCTGTCTATTTCATGTCAAATCAGGTGAAAAAGTTGGTAAAAGGTCATTTTTAGATTTTTTGATTAAACGTGAAGTTGAGCGGGGTTCAACTTTACTTTTACGCGCGATCTCTCATACATTGCCCCTCTTTTATTTGCTAACGCAAATTTTACGCATGTATGCACGTAAAAATTACGCGACAGAGAAAATCCACCCTTAGCCCATAAACGTATGCAACAGCATACGAGCATACCCTTCTTTTAGCGGATATATTAAGAAGTCACGCGCGAGTAATACGCGAGAGGGCACGCGAGAGCGAGGGACGTCTCTCGCGCCTAAAAAGCCAAACGATTGCTTCCTGCCAGTTGTGGTTTTTAATCCTGTTATGTTCTATTAAGATTATTGTTTCAAATTATTTGACTTAAGTGCTTGTAAACCAGCTGGATAAGCTAAGTGCACTTCCATTATAAACAAAATCTAAATTTTCTTTATAAAAAAACTCGAAAGTTACCTTGTAACGTCTTACATCATCGCCGTGTAGTTTCGGTTTACCCCACCACAAGGTTATGCTCCGTTTACCAGGATTTTCCGTCTTCACGTCAGTTGGTTCACCAGGAACTACAACAATCGGTAGTGATCATTTGCAATGATTGTAAGGGATGGATACACTTACAGTATATGAGAACGAGTCAAATACATCGCCCTTCCGGCAAAGAACATTATCGAAACATCACTCAAAACTGCGTAATGTGCTTTCTTTGGAACGGAAAGTTTTCTTCGATAGCTTAATGGTAGTTCTAACTGTCGTAGAAGCCATTCAATTTCCCTTGGAGATACGTAATCCTAACGCCTCTCTTTTTTGGACAGTTCTTCTCAACGATGCAAAACTTTACCTATCTCTATCTGCCCGACTATAAAGGGGCAATCTCTATAACGCGCACGCTTGGCTCTGTCCCGATTTTGTGTTCGTATTAAGCAGATCTGACTATATCGACATACCTGAATACGCGATGTTACGAGTAAGTCTACCAAAGACTCCTAGGCCAGCAGAAGTGTAGGCACGTACTTCAACTTTGTAAACGGAACAAGATGAAAGACCAGTTAAAACAATAAATGCATCTGTTGCGTTTTGTAGAACTGACGGAGTGCATACGGGTCTTGCATTACGTGAAGTAGAAAGCCTCGTCTGATTCACTTCATAAGCGATCACTCTACCATTGCTTTTGTCTCTGGAAAGAGGATTCCAACTTATTCTGTAAGTTGTTTTGTTTATTTTTTTAGAGGTTATGTTTTGAGGCGACGCGCTTGGTTCTGCAAAAAGAATTTTAAAAAAAGCAACTGATGAGAATGCAAACTTGTGATAACCGAAAAATTGTAAAATGGCACTATTTATTGAATTATAGGTTGAAAAATTTAACCATATAATTATTTAATACACACCATAAATTTCCCTGACCACGATGCTCATTGGCAGAAGTAATTCAAAATATGGACTTGGGAATCTTCCACTTTTTTCCTCTCCTTGTAGGCGTTATAGGGCATTTTAAGTAAGAGAAGTATCTTTCTTTTATTTCTAGGACTCGCAGCTCAGAGCTGTATACGAATTCCGTTTACACAAATCATCTATTCAAAGGGCCGCTGATACAACAGCACTGAGGGCAGGAAACTGAAAAGCAAATACTCACTGTATTCTGGTACTTGTTTAGCTCCAGTTAGCCTTGGCCCGGGTTTAACAGTTTCTGCCCAAATTTCAACACTGTACTGTATTCCACCGAAAACATCTAAACTGTGGCTAAAGGTCTGATTATTTGTTTCACTTGTAATGGTAGTTTGTCTTCCATCAATGGTATAGTTCAAAACCAATCGATATTTCCTTATAATACCATTTTGTTCAGCAGGTTGTTGCCACTGGACCGTCATTCTAGGCATTGTAATTTCACTTGGCTCTTGGAAGCTGATGACTAGCTTCTGCGGTTTGCTGGGAGCTAAATATAAGAAGAGAGTCTGAGGTGAAAGTCAATTGCACCCCTTTCGTTAGATTTTTTTGTTAGTTATTTTTTGTTTTGGAAGTGATCAAGGGGCCAAAAGAAACAGAAACGTGTAGAAAACAAGCTTAAGTTAAGGAGTGTACAAACCATCTTCTAGCGTCCGAACTTGCTTTTCAGGACCTGGTGGACCAAGAAAGTCGCCATTACTAACTGCGATTCTAATGAAATATACTGTCCACTTCTTCAGGCTCTGTAAAGTCTTATCGGTTGATGAGTCACCAACATTGACTGTTGTCCATGAAGGTTTCCCTTCTTCCTTGTATTCAATGCTGTACCCTCTAAAGGGTCCGTTTAAACTGGTGGAGCATGGTGTCTTGGACATGAACATGACTAAATTAGTGTTCAAGTAATACATCCTGAAGTAACCTCTCCTCCCATTTAACTGCCTTGCATGCTCATACGGACATACCCATGGTTATCTCCTGACATTTGTTTTCAACTCACTACTGTCATAACTGCGAGACCAGAATTAGGAGACCACGGGACCGCCGCGGGTTGCGGTAAATATCTAAAAAGAAAACCCTCCTCCGTGTAATATGTTGCTGTTAATGTTTTTTTTTTTTAATTGTTCATCCTTCGTTCTTTTTGACATACTTGTGAATCTACAGTTATTGCAAACATACTTTATATACTTTATACCATAGTTAATTAAGTGGAGTATATGAAGCCTGTCAAAGTTTTTTTAATATGTTTTTGTTAGCTTTTTGGGGGGCTTGACGGTGCATAACGTTCAATATCATTTCTATCAATCCGCATTAATTCACTCAGTCACAATTTATGAACAAAAAACAATGGATTGTGCATGTAATGGACCTCACTTCATAAACTGCAGCCCAAAACTGATGTTCGCCGGCTTTAATAACCAGTCTCCTCCCCAATACCTATGTTTATTTTCAAACCTTTTAACAGTAAAATCCACTCAAAATGATAAATTTGCGGGGTTGATGCAGACAATTTCAAGCCTAAATTTTTTTTCCTTTGTTTACACAAAGCCGTGAACATATTAAATGAAAAAAAAGATGGCATTGGTTTCACAGGTTTTTCTGTCTGAGGAAACCAGACTCCTACACAGTCACCATTAATTTTACGAGTTATGAGTTTCGGGGTAACAGAGGATTGAGGCGGGGGCAGGGGTGGGGGCTGGGAGAGGGAAGGGGCGAGGGAAAGATCAGCGCACCTCAATAGCGACAGGGTAATAGTCTTTGGTCGAAGCATGGAAATAATAGGCAACCCCCCTGAGAAACGAAGTACTTGTGGACTCGAAGGAGTTTTTGTTAAAATAAATCTGATGTTTACCTGCCATTTCACAAGAATTGTTTGCGAATTATGGCTTGTCACATTCACGATCGGGACATCGACTTCAGGCCCTAAAAAGGAAAAGTACAATTTAAGTTTAGATCGATTGATACTCAATCTGAATAGTTCAGTCTATCCTATAACCGGACGCCTATACTGCAAGGAAAAACGCCAAATTAGTTTGCATACACTCCTTTCTGTGTCACAGGTTTTCAGATTTTAATGGAAAGATATAAGATGATAACTCCAGTAGTTAATATTTCATTACCCGATTGAGTGGAGTCGCTAAAACGATGCGGTGGTCAGTGTTTTGGAACAAGAACGTATTATACAAATTATAATTTATTCTTAGCACTGCATCTAATTTGCATCATCACTTACTGGCATTTTTTGTTGTGAAATTCGTGAAATTACTCCACAGACTCTTTCCTAAGACACTGTTGGCTAACACCCTAACACTGTAGGCTGTGTATGGCTTGAGGTTGATAATCCGTTTACTTAATACAAGTCCCAAATGTATATCAAGTGTAGAAGTACTATTTCGATACTCAAGATTGTAGGCAGTTACAGGCACTTCATCGGCTCCAGGATTATACAGCCATGTGACTAATGTTGATCTTGCTTTAACGTCACTTGGATTAACTTGAACAACTGGCTGGCCTGTTTTCTCTGTTTTTTTCTTAAAATGAGCCTTATTTATAAGTTTATCTAATACCCAGCACTTAAACCGTTGAACAAGTGACAAAATCAACGAATAAACAAACGCGTTAAAAATACGTTACCCACTTAGAATACGTTATTTTAAAGGTTGAGGTATTTTTTAGAAAGTACTTCCTTATTCATCTAATACCGTTTACAGTCATGTATTGCTGGAATGCAATCTGATTTTCTTGTCCTTATAAGGGACTTAAATTATGTTAGTTATTGAAAACTGCGTGATCCCGTATATTAAATTAATTTTGAGAATCACAATAACGAGCAAAAAGGCGTACCAAGGTACGCACAAATTGTTGCTTACTTAAGGACACTATAACATTTGCAGTGGTCAGATAACTGCCTTGTATTCCAGAAAGTGATGTAGAGCATCGGTAGGTTGAATTACACTGGACTCCTCTGGCTGAAGGGAGCTTTCTTGTACAAGAGGTATTGTAGATATTACTGGCATTGTTGTATGGTATGGTAAGAGAGGAGGTTGTGTCAGAGAGCCCCGCTCCATCTTTGCTCCAACTATACGGCAACGAAACTTGGTCTAAAAAAGACAAGCAAATATTTAATGTAAAGACGACAAGACAAACTTATCAAATACAATATCTCAATTTTACACTCCATTAGGTTTATTGAATTTGATTGACTGAGAGCAGTAATGCAGTTTCAAGATCGAGCCGGGGTTTAGCGTGTGTGGGGATTATGCGGGGGGAGGGAGGCGAGAAAGTAGATTTGATACAAATCCAAGATATATGGTGGCCGCCCGTAAGGTAAAGCGGTCGAACTCGATGAACTTACGGAAAGTAGGGGACTGGGAACAGCCTATAAGTAAACAGAGTGCAAAAACGAGGGAATATAATTCAATTCTCAGAGAATGAACCACTGTGACTGGCCAAGAAACAATAGAATTGTTTAACAACCAATCAGGTGCCGCAAATCTTTATTGGCCACTTTGAGGTTGCGAGTGAGACTGGATTGAGGTGTTGTGTCGATCGAATTGCATTGTGGGGATGTTTTGTGGACGAATTTTGATCCGGTGAATTTTTGCCCGTTTGATACTTTTTTGAAAAACACACTCGTGCAAATAAATTGACAATTGAACTCGAAGTTGTATGATAACCTATACAAACACTGTTTACTGGCAAAAAGGTTTGCATTACGGTACACACTATACTCTTAAATGCAGATTCCGCCGTTTTCTGCGACAGCAGTTAGCCTGCCAGTAAATGTCTCAATCCCATCTCCTTTAATTTTGCGCAGGCTAGAAAGTGCTGCATCATACCAAACAGCACTAAAGTACTTATTTTGTGGCTAGCGGGCAAGATGAGGCACATTCCTTGTTCCCATTGGTTACCCGAAGAAGCAAGATGGGGAGGAGAGTTGTGTGACGAGACAAAAACGGCTGCGTGCGATACTAAGATTGCATGACAAGATTAAGCTCGTTTGATTATTCCAATATTTAGGCTTAATGTACTTTTTACCTTAAATTGCTATGAACATTTGAGCTTTTATTTTCTTTTTTAACATTCAGGGCATTGTAACGCACTTTTGATCATATTTGCATGGAAAAGGCGCGTCATAAATTTTTAATTATTATTACTATTAATTATTGGCTGTATACGGCAGCACATGTATCCCATTAATTTATTTTTTTACGAATCCCCTCTAACAAATTATACTTACAATCCTTACAGCCAAACAAGTCCATTCTCATACATATTGCACCAGTATATGTTTTGGGAAATATTCTGACATATTGCGCTGCAAACGGGGGAGCAAACCAGTGGACAACAATGGTACTTCTGTCGCTGTTTCCAGTCAAATGCTGAGTGGTAGATCAAGAACAAAGTAAGTGGAGGTATATAAATAATTTTATTTACAGGAGACCACAATCTGTGTGGTGTATTCCCAGATCGACTGAAGGGGGGCGCTAGAGGTGATGGGAAGGAAGAATTTTTTTGCTTTTCCTTCCCGTCACCCCTCGCGCTCCCTTCGAACACGCTTCTCGTGACTGGGGACGAGTCACCCTAACTGGGGTTGCAAATGTCCGTTCAGGGGCCCGTTCCTCGACTGAAGTTCCGATAATTAACGGACAAACAAGAAAAGTTGTCAGGGATACATTAAGCAGTAAGTAAATCTTCAGCTTTAAAGTAATAATCTTCTCTGTTTGATCTGTCTACTCATTATGTCCGACAAAAGGTTTAAACGTTCATTAGTTAAAAGGTTGTGTGATTTTGTTTCACTCGCTTGAAGTCTACTCGAAAGTGTAAAAGAGTTATAGATATGAATGAATCTGTATTTGCTTCGAATATTTAGTGCGTTAGATAGTCACACACATGCACAGTTACTGTACAAATAGGTTCATTAAGGAGCGTCAAAGTACAGGTTGTAATAGGACAATGTAGGAATAAACATTGGTGCATTGTTCAACTCCTACAACCTAGGTTTTGAAGCCAGAGACTCGTCACCGCTTACAACAAAGTTCGCAATATGATAATTTTCTGTCTCGGGCCCGAGGTCAGTTTTTCACCAATGTAGCCAAAATGAGACAAAATATGGTAACAGACTGGACGGCGGCAATTGGACGATTGCCAATCGTGAGACTTGTTCCGTCATAAGGCTTAATCAAGAACGAGAAGTCCAAAGACTACTGACACTACTGCAAAGCTGATTTAAAACAACGTGTATTGTTTTTTTAAACAATATTTCGGCTGGCCATACCAGCCTTCTTCAGGTTTACAGATGTTACTGAACTTATGTAGCAATCACAATATTATATAGATGCATGGAGAATGTCGCAATAAAAGGGAAAGGCAGAAATGACGTACAACATAAAAATACTAAGGATATGGATTACAATAATTCGTCACGGCGGTTTAGGCCATGAGGTTCAAGAGTCATGGCGTTATCTATCAAATGCGACTCTCTGGGTTAACTGCATGTCAGTATGAGAATGGTTAGAGTGGTAGAAAGTGTTCCGTGAGACGTCTCTTAGTTTCACATATATATTGTAAATTACAACGGTTACATTGAACCATGTAGATCACATTTTTAGTGTTACAAGTAACGTGCGAAGAGAAAACAACTTCTATCGCGTACGCTGATTTCAAATAGGATTGTTTCATCACATGGACATAACAATTATGGGAAATGATCGCAGCCGAGTGGTGGTCGTGAAGGGCCGGGGGGAGGGGGGGGGGAGTGAAGAAAGATGTAAACAGCATTATAAAGTCATGGTTTTAGGGTTTACCTTGGTGTAAAAAGCTGTGAAGTTTTTCTTTGGTTTTCTAGTTATTATTTTCCTTGGCACGATTGTGTTGGCTCCTCAGTGGCTCTTTGTATTCATTGTTTTACGTCACTCGTGAGTTTCAAAGGTTTTTACACCGAGGATGAGCCTGATTTTATGCCTACTGCAGCTTGTTAGAGGATTTGTGTACTCAAATTGTTATAACAAAGAAAAAAAGTAAAGTAAACGATCCCGAAATGAAAATGTCGGGGAAAAACTCCTGGAGGTCCCTTTAAGCAAATCCAGACATATATGAATACCTGCTGCAAATTTACCTGTCCAGCTCCGTAGCTAATCCATGTTTTACCATCATATCCATAGCGGATTAAATAGCTTGTCACCCGGTTGTTCCTTTGAGCATCTCCCTGAGTGGCCACGCCTGTGACTGTTACAATTTTATTGAAATCAGCCTGCAGGTACTGAGGTAGGGATACTGAAGAGCTACACCAACCACGAATACCATAAAGGCGACTATAATCAGCTCGATAACTACTAAGTTCTGAGGATGCTGTAATTGTGAATTCCCTGGTCGTTTGAAATCGTTCATTCTTAAACGATTCAAAGCAACCTGTAAAAACATCAAGAAATATGGCATGTTTATTAAGAATTTTTATGTAGTATTTAAAAAGGAGCAGTTTCGATTATCTGGTTTTAAACCTGATAATACAGACTGCGAGTTTTTGAACGACTTCAAAATCTCTGATATAGATCAACTCATTCTTACACTGATATTTAGATTTGGGGTCGATTTTGGTCTACAAAATTGGACGTAAAGTTTAGCCATGTCTTTATCAGATATATAGACAGGGGCACCCAACAACGGTTTCGTCCTAAATGCATTGACAACACTTTTTAGGATATTCAGAGTACTTTTAGATCTCTGGAAATGTATTTCAAGTAGAGCTAAAAATTTTTATCTGTTCGTTCATCCTAGGGCAGCTTGACTCTTTTCGAAATTACAAGGGCTTCAGCATTATTTTTCCGAACATTTTAGCTGCAATTTAGAGTTTTACAAATTGAGAATTTGTCTGTGCATCGCATTTTTGGTTCCAAAAATTTTAGGTTTAACTTTCCCTCCTGTTCTAAAACAAGGCTTAACCTGGGGAGTGAAATACATAAAATCGAAGGGAATTTATTAGATAAGCTTCGAAAATTGTGCATGAAAGGAAAGGTCATCTAAAAAATTCTGGGCAATTTTTGCTTCTCCGAACAGATTTCACAGAAAACAATCATTGGGTGTCCCTGTAAAGTCACTCATTAAACTTTTAAAATTTCTTTTGTTTTTTCTTTATGAATTATAATGAGTTTTTTAACTCTTTTTTAAATTTCCATTCGTTCCATATTAGTTACAATGACAAAGAAGGAAACAAACGAGGTGGGACAAAATCAGTATATTAAATCCAATTATTGTAAGCACTCTTTTTCTAAAGTAAAGGAGAAAACTAAACAGAGAGGAAACAAGAAAACGTGAAATAAGCATAGATGTACAAAGATTGGTCAGGCAGTAATATTCGGATATTTTTTATTACGGAGATTTTTACCTCCATTTTCAAACAAATACGCAACCACACGTAGCATATTCGAATCGTAGTCACCCGTCCACACGAAAACGGCTAAAACGATGCAAATACCATAGCTTTATTATTGAGCATGCGTTATGCTAGAAGTATATGATAAATGACATCATCGTATTCCGAGATCCGAAACCGTTTTCGTCCGTCCACACGTAAAAGAAAAGCCGACGTTTTAAAAAAATCTAGACTCGAGAGAGCGTTTTTGAAAAGGTGCGTTTTCGGTGATCAATTTCAGTGCATTAGTGAGTGTGGAAGGTAGGCTCAACCGGAGAAAAAATATCCGTTTTCAAACAAAAACTGATACGCGTGAACGGGGCCTCCGATAAGCAAAACTTACAACAACTTTGCGCGTATTAAGATTCACGTTAACGCCAAACGGCAAACGTGAATTTGTACCACGTGACCAAGTTTTCCCCTTATTTTTCGTTTACTGTTTATTGCTTCTACACAAAAATAAGTAGTTTTATGCCAGTTTTGTCCACAAGAATCGTTCTGGACTGTTTTTATCTGCTTATTTTCTATTCTGAGAAATTTTCAACTGACGTTTGCCGTTTGCCGTATGCCGTAAACGTGAATCTTAATCTCTCTATTTTTGTTTCTTTGCCGTCACTGCACGACAACGACGTGAAACTTCTTAATTTTACGTTTCATTGAGATTGTGAACACAAGACAACGATTTTCCTTTCTTTTTTTTTTTAAACTGAGATACAGACCCTTAGAACTCAACTCCAGAAAAATTCTCTAACATTTGACAAATTTAGCGTGATGAAACAAAAGCGATGAAGTTTGAAAGAGCACCTATGCTTTTACAAGTGAGGTTTTTTGATGCCGTCGCCGTCGTGGTTGCATGCTTAACCTCCGTATTAAAACTGAGCACTGAACTAAGTGGTCACTGAGTCAGTTTCCTTGCACTGTATGTACAAACCAGAATTCAGCGGCAGGGTTAGCTCAGTCGGTAGAGCGTTCGACAGCAGAGCAGGAAGTCGCGGGTTCGATTCCCGGGGCCGGATCAATGCACAAGGTCTTAAAATAACTGAGAAATGCTGTGGTTGTCTTTTGAACTGCATGTATTGGGTATGTAGTAAGAGACCCACCTTGCTTAGATCCATATACCTCCACCCTTAATGCTTTCCTGTTGTGAAATGTAACTGGATAAAAACGAATAAACTTGGCAGCAAGTGGCTCATATAGTTCACTTCTTACAATGCTGTTCTTGTCATCATTTCCAGTAAATATCTAAAAGCAAATAAACAAAAATTTCTATAAAATGCTGATGAAAGACAAATTCGTGCGTTTAGGTGTTTCATTCGCACGGAAACACGCTAACCGTACGAAAATTTGAACGCCTAACCGTTCAAACATTTGAAATGAGAAAAATCAAGAGGTGTGAACACCATAACCATCTAAATTTGTGTCTAGCAAGGGCGTGGTCGCATGGATGCGTGGTAACTCGGCTGGGAGACGCCATACTGGATTTCAGATGAAGTAGTGTTGTGCGCATGGGTAGATGGAAAAACAACTAAAAAATAATAATAAAAATAACATTCTCAAACTGGTTCGTTAGTTCAGTGTCAAGAAAGCGAAAATGTTGAACGGTTCCTTGTCCGGTCAAATTTTTCAACCGGTCGAAAATTCGTCTGGTGCCTTTTTAACATATCTTACGTCTCACCCTATCCGCTCACGGTTAATAGCAGAAAAAAAAATAAACAAAAGATATTTATGAGGATTGCAACTACGTTGACGATGACTCCCGCCGGCAGTATAGGCAAAATATATTAAAAGGAAAACCACGTCTATGTCAGTTTCGTTTACATTTTACTACTTATTTCCCTAACGTTTCCTATGTAAACAATGAGAGACCAAGGACGGAAGGCTGTAGCAATGAGGGGAAAAAGAAAGCAAGGCAGGAGGCAGGAAGAAAAGAAGGGGGCAACTAGAGACAGTGAAGATGGGAGAAGAGAAAGGAAAGCGAATGGAAGGGAGAGAAAGGGGACGAAAGCAACTTCGGCATGTGAAATCCTGGTTTCTCAAAGCTAAGAGGTAAACACAATCCTTCATTACTTAGTGTCTCCAAGACTATAACTTCGCTATTACTTCACCTAGGGTAAAAATTATCGCTATTACTTCACCTAGGGCGAAAAAAGATGTACCTTTTCGGAGCCACCCTCAGAGTAGAATGTCCACACGTCATTATCAAGGGACGTCTTTATCTTGTATGTTTTTGTCCAATAATCATTATTTGGATTCCCTTGTGTTTCTACTCCACAAACAAAGTAAAGAGACCCCAGATCGATCTGGAGGAAATCATTGTTGTCATTGTTTGTGGCAGGAATCCAGGAATTGGATCCATTTAATCGGCCATCAGATGGACTGCGGCCGCTAAGAGATGACGAAGCTAAAAACCTTCGATCAGAAATGACGCTACTTTTCGACACATCCACTGGATCAAGTACACAACCTAGAAAATATGTATATATATATATATATATATAAAAAACGGAACTATCAAAATATATTTGGACTTTACAAGACTCTAACAAACCTTTCCAGATAAAATGGAAAGTTTTAAAGAAATGTAAAGCCTATAGCAACATTAGCAAAAAATGTAATCATTTGTCTTTATGAAAAGTTTATCATCATTTGTAAAAAAGAGCTTTGTAGCCTAAACAGGCGAAACGAACTAGCGAGTTCATGCCCCCACAGAAACAGATATGTACTTCAGAACTCTAGAGTAACGTAACTAAGACACAATCCATCTGTTACCTAGATACTATCTCTTAACGCATCCCTATATTTACTGCCAGCTTTTAATTTTAACGGTCAATCGTTGAAGTTGCCTGATGAGTGTGGTCCTACAATTTCGGACCATACGAAACAGCACTGTCGCAATAAACGATCAATGATTACTCCTGAAGCCTGAACTCCTGTGATTATTAATAGTCAATGCTCTTCAATTAAATGAATTGAGCGCTCTACGGAATACGTTCTACCCAGAGTACAAGTATATATATATATAAAGTACACTACCTCAAACTTAGTTTATGAAAAAAAGGATGACGAATTATAGTATCGTGTTATTATTCTTAACGTAGAAGGTACAGACTCACAGAACAATGTCAGGGGCGGATCTAGGGGGAGGGTGCAGGGGGTGCGCACCCCCCCCCGAGATGACCTGCGGTTTTCTAATACAACTGGTATTCTGCATAAAAAAAAAAAATAAAAATAATAAAAAAATAAAAAAAAACTATGTGAGTGGTTTATTGGTGTTGAAGTAGAGCAAAAGACGAGTGCACCCCCTCCTAAAAAAAATCCTGGATCCGCCCCTGAATGTTATTGCTTTGATCTGGGGTTCCTTCCTGTTTTATTTAAAAACAACAACAACAACAACGACAGCATAAGAAAAGTATAAAAGGGATGAAAGTGTAATGGCCTCCATCATGAACTACGCCGAGTACATCCACTTCTCGTTTGTAATTTATTGTCAACTTTTAGCTTCATACAGACGTTTCGATTTCGATCCAAAGTGACTGGAAGGCTTCATCAGAAACCTCTTATATTTCAGGAATCTTTAACATACAAGCCAACACCTTTCATTTTACTATAGCCAAAAAATTTGCCTTTTTCCAAAGGGGTTAACCCATGATTCTGGTCAAAAATTCCAAATGACTCTTTCCAGCCTACTTTTCTGTATTAGAGATCTCATGATGTTGTTTTCCTAAAAGGAGGCTTTTTTGACGACATAAATGTCATTTTACTATAGTCGAAAAATTTGCATTTTTCCAAAGAGGTTAACAAATGATTCTGGTTAAATATTCAAAATTTTCTTTCGAGCCTTTTTTTTTCTGCAAAAGAGACCAAGGCTTTGTTGTCTGATGATGTTGTTTTCTCAAAATGAGTCTTTTTAGACGATAAAAGTGTCATTTTACTATGGTCGAAACATCTGCATCAGTTACCTTTGGCGCCTACTTTTCTGTAAAAGAGACATCGGTTTTTTCGTTTGATGATGTTGTTTTATCAAGAGGAGGCTTTTTAGACAATAAAATTGTCAATGTGAGAGGCTAGAGGTGTCGGGAACATATTCGAAAACATATGCAGGTATGCTTGGATTAAAATCCATTTCTTTGCCGCTGATTATTTTAGTTTCTGAAACTCCTATAATGCTAAATTCAAAATTCAACTCGTCTAATAGATGAACTTGAAAGTTTTCAAGGTTTCGCTTAATGGATCAGCCAATTCCAGCTGCGCCCAGTCCCCCCTCCCCCCCAACCCCGGGCTAATGGGGGCATTTGTCCACCTTGTCAGTCCCGGGGGTGGGGCATTTGCAAATTTTGCGTTACCCGTTGGGAACTGACTGATGCATAAGACTCTCGATGTTATTATGTAGAAGAGAGAAGCGCGAAACAATCAAACGACTGGGAAGTTCACTTTTAAATTGTAGAACTATATGGGGAATAGTAGCGACTATGTATACGATGATTATAGAGACTATCACCCGGATTAGGATCTTGAAGTACGTTTAGCCTGAAAAGATTAAGGTCATAAATGCTAGAGAGTTTTTCTAGGTACTTTTTAGCCGACAAATGAAGGAAAACAACTATTATATTGACTATAATCCAAAACCAAAATATGGGAGCTCACGGAATAAAGATAGAGTCTCGCCACAAGCACAAGTTAATAGAACTTATTATGGTAGATACTTATCTAACTGGTAATAATAATAATACTGATAATAATAATAATAATAATAATAATAATTTTTTAAAGAATTAGGAATTTAGGAATACGAGATTTTATTCTTTTTAACTTCTTTTCTCTTTAATATCAGGGACGGATTTGTAATGACTTAATTTAAAACTCTGGACTGTCTGCAAGAGTTATTGACCGCATCTGAGCCGCAAGGAATGTATTTGCGAAATCGCTATTGACACAGTGATTGCTCTTTTTATGATTTATATAATTCTTAATGTTATATAGTGCTTAATTCTTACTTCAAATATTTCTGTAAAAAATAATTCTGTACATATTTTTTTACAGTTGAATATTGAGCAAAGTGGAAACCTTTCAAGAGAAATCTAAAGGACTATCTTTGAGGACAAAATTCAGAAATCGTCTATGCTCAAACAAAAATTTCTAGTGTTTACAAGCGATTGTGCCGAGATATCGCGCAAAATACTATGCTGGATAAAGCGCAAAGCACTGCAAAACATAATTCTTCCTACTTACCATGAGGAATAACAGTGTAGCTTGCTTTAAATCCATGGGCTGTTACAGAACCATCAGTAACAAAACGTACAATCAAGGTTTCGTTGTAAGAAGAAAAAGTCGAAATGCTGGTGAGTGAACCACATAAACGCCCAGGAAGCACACCACTACCATATATGACAGCACTTTGAATTTGTATATAGTCGCCATAAGTTGGCTTTCTACTAAGTCCTCAACACATCATAGGCAGTAAGTAAGAAAATCTAGGTACGAAGCCCATACTAACCCGATCTTAAAAGAACAAAAGCTCTTAAAATGTCAAGAAATCCACTTGTTTTAATTAGGCCTTTTTATGTTTTCACTCTTTTCAAAATTCAATAAAGCTTTCTCAATGAACAACCAAATACATAATACTACGTCTGCTCAATCTTTTTTTTTATCGCAATGCACAACCAATACCAGCACCGTTTACATTCAAGTTCCAAAGTTTTACAACTCTCTAAATGAATGGATGGATGGAGGGAGGGAGGGAGGGAGAGGGGGAGGGACGAACGAACGAACGAACAAACGACTGACTGAATGAATGAATCTCTCCTCGCTCGCTTTCTCAGGACCTCTACAAATCGGGCTTAAATGGGAAAAATGGCTGGCTATGCCTCTGATTTTAAATATGCTTAATTGAGCAAAGTGGAAACCTTTCAAGAGAAATGTAAAGGACTATCCTTGAGGACAAAATTCAGAAATCGTCTATGCTCAAACAAAAATTTCTAGTGTTTACGAGCGATTGTGCCGAGATATCGCGCAACATACTATACTGGATAAAGCGCAAAGCACTGCAAAACATAATTCTTCCTACTTACCATGAGGAATAACAGTGTATCTTGCTTTAAATCCACGGGCTATTATAGAACCATCAGTAACAAAACGTACAATCAAGGTTTCGTTGTAAGAAGAAAAAGTCGAATTGCTGGTGAGTGAACCACATAAACGCCCAGGAAGCACACCACTACCATATATGACAGCATTTTGAATTTGTACATAGTCGTACCGACAGTTAATCCCACTTTCTATGTCCATGTCTTGAATGACCAACTTGACGCGATTTCCTGTACTTGCCATGATTTTCCAGCCGCAATTTTGATTATTACCATAATTCCCCGGGTAAGAAGGACTTGTGATGATGCCTGAAGTCCCTGTCAGGATTTCCATATTTGGACACGCTGACGCTTTAAGACAAGAGAATAATAACACGTTTCGTTTTGGAAAAGGTGAAACACTCGCCACGTCAAGCTTGTGGAAAAAAGAAAGAGATTTGACTTCCCACAACAGTGATCGGGCGTTTTAATCATATAGTAGTCAATTTATCCTGGTGTTAAAGGGGGTTTGTTTCGAGGATATTGCTGTTTTTAGGAATATTACGTGCTTATTTTCTTGTAATTTTTTGCATTGAAAAGGCTGGCCATTTTTTCAATTTTCAATCATCCTTGCCATCCATATTAACAGACGACAGGAAACGGTTTTAATGCCTAAATATAGTCTTATTCTTGGAATTCAATTGATTCGAAAACACGCTTTAGCTTTTTAAAAAGGTAGAAAATAGCGTGACATAGCCCTTTTAAATAACTTGGTATAACATACCGTAAGAAATACCTCCATGGAATTCCATCGATTTCCGTGGAAAAAATTTCCATGGCATTCCATGGGGAATAACGACATCAATTTTAATGGAAAAGTTCCAAGAAATTCCATGGAAACTACTGCATCCAATTCCATTGATCTCCATGGATTTCCATGAAATCCACAGGAATTAGAGAGTTACAGATGTAATTTGATATTTCCTCCAGCTGTTGAACATACTTTACAGCGAAATATGAAAGAAAATTCACGAAGAGGACTTAAAACAAACACGATCGAAGGGATCGGTCTGTTTCCATGAAGAGCTTGGAACTATAACAAATGTGAGTTTTCTAATTTCTTCCTGTTTCAATGGCCCAAAATGATTATTAGTGTTTTGGTTACATGGATGATAGTAGACTGCAATTTGGCTGTCGGAGTTGTTCTGTCGTTTTAGTTGTGCACTGTAAATCAATTCAAAAATGCCCGATTTTTTGCTCGTTTGCAGACACTGAGTTTAGGCCAGATAAAATAAGAAAATTTTAGGCTTGTCCGTGGCTACTTAACAAATCTTATGCCTTTAGAAAGTAGTTCTGTGATGTGTTGTATCGCAAGCAGAAAATAAACTTCGCTCGTTAAATTTTGCGGATTCTGTGAGTTTCAGAAAATGGTGAAAATTTGCTTATAAGAATGGCGTCTGAGGGGGTCGAATAAACTGATGCTCGTATCTCTAATACAAGGGCAGTGAAGAACCTATGTTTGGTATATTTGTCCATTACTCCACCAGACTTATCTATGATGTTGGTATGAACTTATTCTGTGGATCCCCTTCCGTTGACATTTTTAACATTTTGCCCGGTTTTCTCTGACAACCATTCCTTGCTCAGTGGCCAGTTTGAAACTTTAGCTTCGCAGCGGCTATAAAGCAGTGGACTGCTCCAGAACTAACAAAAATGCGGAGTGGCGCAGTGGTGAGAGCACTCGCCTCCCGGCCCACCAATGTGGTCTGGGTTCGAATCCTGGCGTGACGCCATACATGTATGTGGGTTGAGTTTGTTGTTGGTTCTCGTCCTTGCTCCGAGAGGGTTTTCTTCGTGTATTTCGGTTTTCCCTCTCCTCAAAAATATACATTTCCAAATTCCATTTCGATCTGGAACGCACGGACACTTTTCGACGACTTCTTGAGAACTCCTAAATGCTCCGTGGGTAAAGAAATGTCAAGTTACAATTTTTACCGGTGCCTAATTTGTACCCGAGCTCGTCCTTGAACTCGGGCACCGGCACCGTGCCCGAATTCCAGCGTGGGTACTTGAAAAAACGGGTGTGTTCATATGGCCACCACTTTTTTGGTTCCTTAGCCAATACCTTAAAAAAATATTTCATTTCATGCTCTGGGTAACTATGTTTATTCTGCATTGATCGATATAAAACGCAATTTCGAACAAAATATTCCATTTAAATGGTTCGTTACTTTAGTTTGCTTTACTTGAAAATCGATTTAAAGAGACACAGTCAGCTATGGGACCGCGCTGACCTGGACACTAGTTTTGCAAGTTTGAAAAGCGTTTATCTCAACCTGAAATTAAATGTACGCGTCGGATACCTCTAGAGGAATCGCCTTCGTTTAACAAAATAACAAGAGAAATGAATCAAATACACTGGCGAGCAAATAATCATTTTATATATTTGGAAAATCGATGTAAGTAGTTACGTGTACGTGGAAAATCAATCTTTCTCGGCCTTGACCCTTCGACAATGATTCAGACTTCGCGTAATTTCTCACCTCTACTAATGTTCGAAAGTATTCGTCGATGTCTGGACAAATCCATCGGTAAATTCTCAATGGTATATATATATAAAAATGCCGAGTGCTCTGATATGACTTAGGGTCTATAATCACGATTTCGGCTTGTAACTAGTTCAACGCTACAAGGTTTGCTTAGAGTATTCTGGATACGCTTCCAAATTCTGTTTCATGCGCGTCTTCTAGCATGCAAATCAGCTAACAAATGGCATCTAATGCGCATCTGCATCAGCTGACTGTGTCCCTTTGAGAACTAGCTTCGCTCTGCAATTCTATTTTGCAAACAGAGTAACTCAAATTTCATAGTCGGAAGAACAGTATTCTCGCTAAATCTAAACTGAACCGGGCTGCCTCTCATCCTTCTTTTAGCTTATGTGACAAATTAGAATCTCTTCCTAGTTTAAAAACATGGATAAAACATGCTTACCTCCATCGATCCATGGATGTTAAGTTCATCTTCGATAGTGTACGTTTAGGTTTGTCTAGCTCCGCAGATAGCCTCCAAATAGCAGACGTCGTCCTTCGAGTTGTCTTCTTGCTGTTCTTGCCACGTTTTTAGCTATTTTTTCGCCTAGTTCTTACCCTTGAAAAGAGTGAAATGTCCGCCATGTTTCAAGTTCACAATCAAAACAACTGAACCTCGTTCCTAGGTCTTCTCAGTTAACGGTGCCTTAACCCGTGACAACGCTGCATTTTTGACGTCATTTCCTCGTTAAACACAAAATTCTTCCAAATTTGGTCATCAGTAACTGGTTATGGTGGTTTAGCTTATGTGACAAATTAGAATCTCTTCCTTAGAAGATACAAAGGTCGAAACAGCTGAAGACCTTACAAAGACCTGAGAAAGTCGCCATTTTACTCTCTGAGTACTCGTTTTTCTGAGATATAATAATATACGCACGATCGTCGATATTGATGGAATCCGTAGTTCTAGTGCACACAAGCGAGACATGCAGTGCTAAAGAGACACTCTCGTCCCTATTGACCTTAGGAAATGTACTTGAGTGTAACAGACTTCTTTATAAAGGATTCAAAAACTATTTATCAAGGTGTGACTGTGACACGGCTATTTTTTTTTAACTAAAAGAACCCATTCGTTGACGAATCACTGCTAATTACTCATTTGACACAACATTTTTGAGCAAAGATGGCCCGCTGTTCTTCATGTTCCCTCTGAAAACTGTTTATGGCTTAGGCGATAACTTGGCTTTCTACTAAGTCCTCAACACATCATAGGCAATAAGTAAGAAAATCTAGGTACAAAGCCCATACTGACCCGATCTTCAAGGAGCAAAAGCTCTTGAAATGTCAAGAAATCCACTTGTTTTAATTAGGCCTTTTTATGTTTTCACTCTTTTCAAAATTCAATAACGTTTTTTCAATGAACAACCAAATACATAATACTAGGAGTGCTCAATCTTTTCTTTTTTTATCGCCATGCAGAACCAATACCAGCACCGTTTACAGTCAAGTTCCAAAGTTTCACAACTCTCTGAATGAATGGATGGATGGAGGGAGGGAGGGAGGGACGAACGAACGAACAAACGACTGAATGAATGAATGAATCTCTCCTCCCTCGCTTTCTCAGGACCTCTTCAAATCGGACTTAAATGGAAAAAATGGCTGGCTATGCCTCTGATTTTAAATATGCTTAACTGAGCAAAGTGGAAACCTTTCAAGACAAATGTAAACGACTATCTTTGAGGACAAAATTCAGAAATCGTCTATGCTCAAACAGAAATTTCTAGTGTTTACAAGCGATTGTGCCGAGATATCGCGCAACATGCTATGCTGGATAAAGCGCAAAGCACTGCAAAACATAATTCCTCCTACTTACCATGAGGAATAACAGTGTATCTTGCTTTAAATCCACGGGCTGTTTCAGAACCATCAGTAACAAAACGTACAATCAAGGTTTCGTTGTAAGAAGAAAAAGTCGAATTGCTGGTGAGTGAACCACATAAACGCCCAGGAAGCACACTACTACCATATATGACAGCATTTTGAATTTGTATATAGTCGTACTGACAGTTACTCCCACTTTTTATGTCCATGTCTTGAATGACCAACTTGACGCGATTTCCTGTACCTGCCATGATTATCCAGCCGCAATTTTGATTATTACCATAATTTCCCGGGTAAGAAGGACTTGTGATGATGCCTGAAGTCCCTGTCAGGATTGCCATATTTGGACACGCTGACGCTTTAAGACAAGAGAATAAAAACACGTTTCGTTTTAGAAAAGGAGAAACACTCGCCACGTCAAGCTCGTGGAAAAAAGAAAGAGATTTGACTTCCCACAACAGTGATCGGGCGTTTTAATCATATAGTAGTCACTTTACCCTGGTGTTAAAGGGCGACTAGAAAATCTCAGAAATCATATGCTGGCATGGGCACCCTGGATCTCACAGCTATAGAGCATTGAGCCACTTAGAAGTTTTCTTAGAGCACAGCCTTAAACAGCGGAAAATCAAGTATTGAATCCATTTCTGAATCAACTTGTTAATGTTCAAAGTACATGTACAGGTGTAAATACATATAGTGTGTCTGCAGTGCAGAATAAAAGATGGTCATGGCAAGTATTTTTTAATTCAGATTACTTGTTTAGTAAAAGGCGAAAAAAAGATACACACACAAGCATCATGCATACCTACAAAATAAACAGGAGGAAAGATTAACACTCTTACTTAATGAATAAACTTCAACCTCGCAGAGAGTCAGCATTTTGTCACTGCCAGGTATTCTGATGTACAAATATCTGCCATATGCTTTGGGACGACAGAAATATGTCTTGGAACTTGATGCTGGGATTTGTATGTTATCTGCACAACGATAGTTGTTTGCTCCTCCATTTGCTGTTTCATTTCCTTGCAAAGTGAATAAAAGAAAATGTGTAGTTCCAGAAAATATCCACACCCTTTCTTCTCCCCATGGAGGGCAACATAACATTCCGAGGGGAGGGGGGCTCCAAAAGGAGGCAATTTTCGTGGGGTGTGGGGCTGCTTTCAGAGGTTTTTTCCAGGGCGTGTGTGAGTAAGATTCAGTGAGTTATTAATAACTAACAGCTTCTCTGTTGAGCGAGCTATAAGTTATTTTACTGTTACCAGTGTTGTATTGATCATCTTTCCTCTACATGTACGGTCGCCTAAATGTTTTTCTCACGGCTAGCGAGACAGTTTTCTATAATACAATTGACATTGGCGTATGAATAAACTTCTGGTTATCTAGCTGTGGGGTTGCTTTATCACATATTTGATTCACCTTAAGCGTTCTTGTAACATGAAATAAAGTAATGAAATTTTACGTGGTGTTTAGTTTGAATGCAACGGGTTCTTTTGTAGATGACATTTTTCGTGTAGTTAGTAGTCTAAGGTATTGGCTCTATGGTTACTCATTAGAACATCCTTGAGATAATTAGAAACCATGTTAACGTAAATGAAAAGATTTTAGTTAATTTTATCTAGGAAAAAATTATCTTTTGCGTAATAATTTAGTGTAACAACATTTTTGACACAAATATTCTTTCCACACGGTACCCAACCAAGTTGAATAATTACGGAAATTCCAGGGGTGGGGGTATGGCAAGCACTGGAAATTCCAGGGGGGTGGGGTCTTAAGCCAAATGCCCTCCATGGAGGAGGGGGTATGGATATTTTCTGGAATTACACAATATGTAGCATAAACTGCAGTATTTGAACATAATCATGTATAATTTTATAATAGTTGAAAAGGTAACAAAGAAACAATCTAGGCATTCACTTCAAGATCAGGGGAGAGCTGCAATCTCACTTGCAAAACCTTTACATTGATGTGTATATTGGCTCAGCACTCAAATAGAATCTGTGGGAATTTGACTTTACATGAATGTAACTATGTAGGAAGAAAATGCTACTGATCATGATACACTTTTACAAAACACAGCGATCGATTTTACATACTTTTCTTCTTAGAAATCTTAAAAGGCAGTGCAGTCTCAAATTAAAATATTTTAAAATCAACAAAGAACACTTTTCAACAAGGTAAAGCAACTGAATACAGCATCTCCCACAATGACTACCTACCCACTCTTATCTCAGCTCCATCCAATCTGGTTTCGTGTGAGTCTGTGTTGAGTATAATCACTTCAGCTACAGGCTCTACTCGCCCCAGGTCTACTCTCCACCAAGGATTGTTTTCTTCGTTAGTGTGTGTACACTTGCTGATGTCTGTATCCCTATTTCCATCCACTGCGTTACTGGATGGGTAAAACCTCGAATCACTGTATGCACTTGACTGCTTTGTTGGCTTGAAAAGGGCAATATTGCTCTGTACTAAAAACCAAACGAATAATAAAAATAACTGATAAACGCAACAGGGGGTTGCAGGCTGTGCTCTTGGCCCCAGCTCCTGGAAACCACTCCAGGGTCCTCTTAATTCTCTAGTCTCCGAAGAGAAAATTCTGCTCTTGGGAGACTAGAGAATTTCAGCTTTTGCATGGAAATCATATGCTGGGTACCCTGGGTTTCGCAGGTGCAGAGCATTGGGCTCCTTGGAATTTTTCTTAGAGCACAGCCTTAAACAGAGGAAAATCAAGTATTGAGGGCCTTTCAGAATCAACTTGTTACTGTTCAAAGTGCATGTACAGTTGTATATGTAGCGTGTCTGCCGTGCAGTATAAAAAAATGGTCATTGCAAGTATTTGATCGCTAACAGTTCAAAATCTCAACCTCTTAATTTTGATAGGTTGGTCACAAACTAGCCTGCAAATACACTAGCCATCTCTTTTAATTCCTTGCCACTAAAGACCAGTTCACAGGAAAGACATCTGCAAAATGGCCCCCAAAATTTCATATTGATGACATGAATCAACGTTTACAAAATTAATCTTGTAGTCATTGGGTTCTGGATATAAAATTGCTTGAGTTAAAGTCTCTCCTGGTCTATTTGCAGCAGCAACTCTTAACGTAAAGAAGATTATATTCCATGAATAATGACTTTTTCTAGTTGATCCATGGCATTTACAGTGTACATCTTTGGTGACCTTTTGTCTTTTTACTGTCATTCGTAAACAATGACTAAAAGAATAGAATGACAATTTTGACCAATCCCTGTTCGTTGACTAGATTCCAGACAAATCTACATATAATCATCAATATGAAATCTCAGTGGGGCAAAACCTGCGAAACGTCTATTAGTGGCAAGGAGTGAGGAGAGACAGCATACAGTGACTTGCAAAGACTGTATTTTAACAAGATTTTTAGAAAGAAAGAAAAGGATAATGGTTCAGGAGCTGATGTTGTCACAAAAAGAAAAAAGATCTTTTCAATGATGCGAACGAAGGTTCCACAACTGGGTAAAAAAATATATTCCTTAAATTAAAACTGGACAATTTCTGCAGTATATCAAACCTCTGCTTCTAGGTATGCCAGAAACTTCTACTCGTAAACATGCTCCACCTTGTTTGGACCCAACAACAAAACGCAAGTATCTTGCAACAAATGCACTGAACAAGATATGTTTTTCTACTGAGTTCTGATCGCAGTTTCCATTGAATGTCTGAAAAAAAAATCAAAAACAAAAAAAGGCTTAGCATTTAGGAGGTAATTCTTAAATAAAGATAGAGTTCAGTATATTAACCCTAGGGCTGTCACTAAGATTTCAAGTTGCAAGATATATGAAAATTATAGGTAAGGATTTGAAAAGCTAGGAAATTCTCTTGGTTCAGTCTGCTTTCCTTTTGTTTCCCATGAAAGTAGCCCGCGGTCATACTGGTACACTGTAGTAGGACATAGCTAGGAAATTCCTGGTCACTCGCCTTACTAGCCTCCCACGCAGGCGTTTTTAGGGGAGCTCGTTTTTCGGGATGAAAAACGAGCTCCCCTAAAAACGCCTGCGTGGGAGGCTATCGCCTTACAGACTGTAAGTGAGTTTCCTGTGAACCCAGTGGGGTATTAACCATTCACTCCCCATTTCCCCCTTCTGGATTCAATTAGCTTTACCTCATGGCATTACTCCCTTAGATAACAAACTTTGCTCCTTTACACGCTTTTCATTCTTCCACCTCAATATATAAGTGCAACAAATTTCGCATCCTCGGAGACCCAGGGGCAGATAGTGGGGACAAGAGAAAGTCTAAACGGGCGGAAAAATATGGCACGAAGAAAAGTAAAGAACGCTGTTTCTTACTTTTCTTCGTGCCATATTGTTCCGCCCTTTTAGACTTTCTCTTGTGCCCACTGTCTGCCCCTGAGTCTCCGAGGATGCAAATTTCGTAAGGTGACCTTTGAACAGACTAGCATTCCATTCGAAGAGGAGAAGCAGTTTATACTCCTAAGTGCTTCATGGAGCATTGGTTTAGCTCTCTATCAATTAGAACTGTGTTTGCAGCCAGACTAGTCTTATCCTAAGTAGGGTGGTAGGAAGAGATAGTCTTTTTTTGCAAACAAATCTGGAAAAAAGCGTTTTTCCTTTTTAAAGTGATGGGCTAGGCCATTAATATATGCACCCTTTAACTACAACTACCTTAACTTTTCCATTTTCTTCATAGTCTGTCCAAGTTGTCCCATTTGTAGATGACTGTAGAGTGTAAGTCTCCACCCATTGACTCCCCTGGGAATTCCCCTGAGTGGATACAGCACAGATGATATAAGGAATCTGCAAGTCAATCTGTAGATATGGACTGGTGTCAGTCGTGGACGCACACCATGATGATCCCGCTACAAAGTTCAGTCGGCCGTTCCTTGCTGGTGTGCTGGCATTCAGTTCAGAAGAAGCATTTAACTGATTGTCGAGAATGTACCAGCTCACCCCTACATCAACTTGTTCACATGATGCTACAAAAGGGGTTAAAACATTGAAATTACTGTTTGCCCAGAATGCATCTATCAGGTAGACCAATTTAAGCATCTTGTTCAATATGGCGTACGATCCCCGCCAAAATTCATTGTTTGAATTTTAAATTCACCATTTAAATTTCTCCTTGATTTTTATAGCCGAATATAAAATTTTACACTCTTCCTTCAGATGTCGCATCATTGGAAAACGTTTTCACAGTCGTCTTTCATTTTTAAACTCAACTTTTTTATTTGACCTTGCTCGCCGTGTATTTTCAACTCGCTTCATCAAATTACTCTTGCCGAGTCATATTTCAAACTGGACCTCGAAAATTTTCAAAACGACTTCTGAATTTTTGTTCACGCTTCAGTGATCGTTGATCAAGACCATCTGTCGTGGGGTGGGTCGTGGGTGGCTCTTTAGTCCATCATACTTTGCGCGCAAGTGTTTCCCCGCTCCTTCTCACACGTGCAGTGTTCATTTCAAGTGATCACTGATTTGTGTCTTCCAAATTCCACCAAAGAGAGACTTCTTCGCGTCGCTGGAGAACTTCTTTCTCTGGCTGATCAAAGTAAGTAAAAGCATCTTATTTATATCATTTAAGTTTAAGAAGTGGAAGGCTGTCTTGTGCATGATTACCGTGATCTGAATTCACACCCGCAGATGTTTTATCTTTACTCAATGCATGGTTTAAACCAGCTGTCTAAAGACATCTTTCATTTCCTAGCCGTCGCTGTACGACTGCGACATGAAACTTCAATACGTGCCTGCTTTAGGAAGTAGATGAACACAACACAAATTTTTTTTTCTAAACAAATTAAATGAAATTGAATAAGATTGATGAAGTTTGTAACAAGGTGAATTCACTTTTTGAGTGGGGTTTTTGGTTTGTTGTAATCCAAACATTTTGCTACCGTGGTAACATAACATAAAGACTTCTCCTCTCTATTGCACCAATTTTAATCGACCATCAAATTCCACATCTAGCTTTTAGACTCAGAGCCCACGTACAGAAGCTTTATTTATATTGGTTCATTGAATGATTTGTAGGATCCTTTGTTAAAAGCTCTGCTTGCTGATAATATTTTGGTTCATGTTTGATAATGATGACGATGATAACGAAGCCTCAATCCTACCTAAAGCCAAAAAAATGCTGATTCCTTCATCTACAACTACGGATTGTACATCTACAAACAGAAGTAAGGAATTGCAGCACCTTCCTGAGGTGTTCCCCGATAAGACATCAAGTGAACTGGAGGCCTCTCTACTCCAAAATGGGAGTTATAGCAAGACGGTGAATTCCCTTCTTGGTCAAAACTCTATGAGTTTATTACATGACAATCCAAATGATTATGATACGAATGCTGCAGCTACTTTTGATGATGACGATGATGATGAATTACTACATAGTATTTTTTTGGATCAATCGACAGGCGAACGCCTTTCATCTGAGCTAAAAAGTATCCAGAGCAAAAAGTCTGCAGAGAAAGTTAAACTGAAGATTGATGAGGAAGATCTATTAGAAGATGCCATGGTATACTACAAAGCTGAGGAGTTTAAAGTACTTTACGAGCGCTGCGGTAGTTGACCGCAAAAGTGTTACGATGATGGATACTCAACTGGATGATTACGTCGCTTCATAGCAACCAGACGGTACGAATTTTTTAACTTCCGGAGCGCTGACGCTCGTGATGGTACTAGGTCCATGTAATGTTGCAGAAAGCAACCCCACTGTTACTACTTTTGCTTTCGTACAGAGAATATTTGCACATTTTAAGCATCAGGCCATGCAAGAACATGTTGACTGAACAAATTCACCTTTTATAATACACAATGCCAGCTGAATGTTATGTGAGGCATCGTTTTTTCTGAAGGAATGGTGACACTTGCAGCGAAAAGAGAAACGTTTGTCGTCACTGGTACATTCACTGTTTTTAAGATATTCGTCTTCCAAAATGTCTTTCCCTTCCTCCAGCTTGTCGGGACGGAATGATGAGTGCTGCCCAAGCGCTTTCCGCTGTTAGAGATGAAACGATTCATCTCAGCTTTCGTAAAAAGTGGCATTTTTTCAAAATTAATTCCCCAGCCATGTTGAGGAAAACTAAAATTATTAGCAGTCGAAAACGTGATAACAGAGCTTGTGGCAGTGTTTGTGGCAGCCGATTCATTTTGCTTTGCGAGTTTTCGTTTTGGGTAAATTAAATCTGGGTCTGGGTCGACAAGAAAACCATCCTTACCCTGGTTAATAATAATAATAATAATAATAGTCTTTATTAAAAACCAATAATGCATCAACCGTGCCTTATTTACAATGAATATAAAATATGAAGCAAATTAAGATAAAATAAAAAGACAAAAAAAAAAAAAGATAATGTATTCTTCAACTCTAAAAATGTAAGAAACATAATATAAAAAGATAAGCTTTAATTTAATGTAAACAAGTGACAATTCAACAATCGAAAATGATGATAGTGGTTTCATGCCGCTTTACGAGTTGAGCTTTTGTGCGAAGTCCTTTTGCTGGATCGTTTCTACATTTAACCCAAAACCGTAATTCTTCATTTTTCAGCTGTGCTGGATTTCTTCCAGCTAAAGATGACCCAGAAATATCTTCTTCGTTAAGGAAAACGGACATATTTACCTAGTAACTTATTCTATGATCTGTAAGTTTTATCCTCCAACGCCTCGTTTCCACGTTTGGCCGATCACTCGTCCCAGGACAGCCGCCATTTGTGAATACGGTGTATGTTTGTACAAAAGGCGCAAAGCATGATGGACTAAAGAGCCACCCACGACCCACCCCCCGACAGATGGTCTTGATCAACGATCACTCAAGCGGGAACAAAAATTCAGAAGTCGCATTGAAAATTTTCAAGGTCGAGTTTGAATTATGACTCGGCAAGTGTAATTTGATGAAGCGAGTTGAAAATACACGGTGAGCAAGCTCAAATAAAAAAGTTGAGTTTAAAAAATGAAAGACAAGTGTAAAAACGTTTTCCAATGATGAGACATCTGAAGGAAGAGTGTAAAATTTTATATTCGGCTATAAAAATCAAGTAGAAATTTAAATGATGAATTTAAAATTCAAACAATGAATTTTGGCGGGGATCGTACGCCATAGTTCAAACGAATGTTAAAACATACAGTATTGCACCCGCGTATAAGAACCTACTTTTTTAAAGCCTGGCATATCTTTTGAGACAACGGGTATTTTTGGATCTTGTTCAGCCATTTAACGCTCGCGGCTTTCCATTAAATAATTTCTCAACCGTTAAAGTTTTGCTTTGCCCGACTGTTCCACGCTTATCGTTATCCTTTAAAAGGGAAATGGAATCCATTTAAAAACGTATGTTCAGTTAACCACAAACTATTTCCGTGTACCATCCTTTTAACACTGGTGGCTGTTTTTGCTTTCCAGGTCACATTTCTTAGTGATCCCTTTAAGGGATTTCCTTCCAAGATGTGCCTTTCTTTATTTTTTAAGTACAAATAAAGTTCCATCATTGCCTGAGGTCTCATTTCCGTAATGCGTGAAAAATGAAAGTTATTATTCCACCATTGTGATGCGACCAAAAATGTTTTTGAACTGAAGAGCAATACTAGACGAAACTGATCACGATTCGGAAAGAAGTCGGTAGAGATGGGAAAATGGGAGGTTCAATGATGGCTTTATAATCATCGCAAATTGGATGAAAATAAATACTTCGCTCTTTGACTTGCATGGTATCAAACTATGCGTCAGGACGTAAACATGCAAAGCATCGATATATTTTGGCTGTAAACTTACCAGATACCTTCCGTTGTCCCAATAGGCAAATTGCCACGAAGAAATATAACGTGATTTGCTTGTCATCCATGTGTTATCTTAAGCGAAAAAACAGCAATACAAAGTACAATTTGCGCACTGTCTTTTTAAGACTTGCCCCGATTAAGAGCGGCTGTCTATACAAACTTTTAATAAGTCAGGGCGCCATCTTGAATTTTCAATGAATGACGTCATTCGCGGAAAGATCATACAGGTTCCCAAAATGACTACTAAAGATGATAGCTCTGTTGACGTTGATTTTGCAGTGTGTTCATATAAAAAGGAATTTTTTTACTTTATATCAAGAGGAATATTTTCTTTATACAATGTCTTTATTGGTATGTTATCGTAACTTTAAAGCTGTCGTGCAAAGATATTCCTGGATAAGGTAAGGTAAGGTAAGGTAAGGTAACTTTAATTAAACACGGTATTTCCCTCACGTATACATTTACATTGAAGTATAGAAAAAATAACTTCCTAACTAATCTAAAATCTAAGATAAAAACTAAAATAATAAAGATGAAAAGAAAACACCTGCCTTTCAAGGAGGCCGTGTGTAAAAACAGAATATCGCTAATTAAATTATTTGTCAATCGAAATTTATGTCTCTTAATTTTCCCTTAAATATACTAGGGGATGTCAATTGCCGCACCTCCAGAGGCAAGCCGTTCCATAACACACTTCCGCTGTAAGAAAGACTGCTTTTATAAAAGTCAGTACGGGGTTGTGGAACAGCGAGCTTGTATTCATTCTCTCTAAGGTTATAACTAGTTAAATCGCAGCGGCGAACAAAACGCCAAGTCAGATATTCTGGAGCAGTGTTATTTACAATGCTATGCATCATTATTGCTTTACTAACTGCGCGCTGATGGACAAGTTTCGTCCACTTTAAATTTTGAAATAATTCACTAGTACTGCAGATGATAGATGATATCGAGGACAAACGGGAGCTGATTTAAATGCAAAAAAAAAATGCGAATTAAAGTTTTGGCTTAATCGTCGTGTCTTACGTTAACTTCTTCTCAGGTAATCTTTTTTAGCAATGGCTTTGATACTTATTCCTTTTTTATGCGGGCCTTTATTAAAAAAGCTGAAAACGATTAATTATTACCGCTCGTAGGAGACTTAGATTATCTATCAGATATTTATAAAAGCTAATTGAAAGGATTTTTCATGTTGCTATTCTGATCCTTTCAAAATGTACGATAATTCTATCTCGATAAAAAGTTTGTGCTTTTCATCATCAGTTTTTTTATGTTATTATGAGTAGTATACTAGGGTCTAAGATAAGCCTCGTTGGTGGATTCCCTTGCAAAAAGAGGATTCCCTTTATTAATATGTACAAGTGTCTTTCTGCATACTAACCCGGTATAGGTTTACTAATGAGCGAATACTACAATAAGCACAATAGGCTTGTCTCGGCTTGCCGGTGAGGTAACTTGAGCTCGGTTTTTAGACCGTCTATTAAAAGGAAAATAGGAATAAGAGAAGCGATCACCTAGCAACGCGAGGAACGGCTTCCTATATCTTATTTAGCGCTAAAACTCAGACATATAAACAAAACACATACAGAAAGTGGAGTTGAAAAGTCTTTATTTCAATTAAGTTTACGTCTTCTTATTTAGCTCTAAAACTGGGATATATAAACAAAACACACGCACATATACACAAAGTGCAGCTGAAAACTCTCAATTTCAATTTTGTCTGACTATTACAGAACTATTTCCTCCGTTCCTCCACAATTTTATTCTTTTTCCTTCTCATTTTTGAATTCCCTCCTCCTCATTTTTATTGTTTTCCCTCCACCTTCTCCTCCTCCTCCACCGCCTATAACAATAGAAATGACGAGAAGGTGGAGGGAAAACAATAAAAATGAGGAGGAGGGAATTCAAGAATGAGGAGCGAAAATAATAAAATTGTGGAGGAGGGAATAAAAAAAATTGAGGAGAGAAACGTGGTAAAAAAAAGATAGCTTGCTTTCTTTGACTATTTTAATAGATTTCTTTCAAATCGCTGAGTATTTGACTCTTTTTGTTTTAAACGGTATCTCGTGTCTGATTTTATTGCTAGGATTATTAGTCGCCTGTTTAATCAATTGATCCTTGTTAAGTTATTTGTTTTATTAGAATACGTCAAGATGCTCCCTTGAGGTTTTTCCTGTTGTAGAGCTAATTTGTATTCAACTTTGGGCTTGTGAACTTGCATAATTACCTGACTAACGGTGCGTGAAACGTTGAAACTTCAAAAGTTTTTCATTTCCTCGAGATAGAACGGAGAAAACAGTTCTGTAGTAGTCAGACAAAATTGAAATTGAGAGTTTTTATGTCCACTTTGTGTATATGTGCGTGTGTTTTGTTTATATATCTGACTTTTAGAGCTAAATAAGAAGACGTAAACTTAATTGAAATAAAGACTTTTCAACTCCACTTTCTGTATGTGTTTTGTTTATATGTCTGAGTTTTAGCGCTAAATAAGATATAGGAAGCCGTTTCTCGCGTTGCTAGGTGATCGCTTCTCTTATTCCTATTTTCCTTTTAGTAGACGGTCTGAAAACCGAGCTCAAGTTACTTCACCGGCAAGCCGAGGCAAGCCTATTGTGCTTATTGTAGTATTCGCTCATTAGTAAATCTATACCGAATTAGTATGCAGGAAGACACTTATACATATTAATAAGGGGAATCCACTTTTTGCGAGGGAATCCACCAACGAGGCTTATCTTTGACCCTAGTATACTACTATTATGTATAGGTTTTAGGAAAGAAATAAGTTGGATAAAAACGTTTTATACTTTTCACTTTGGGAAGGCGTTAGCTCAGTAATCCAGAAAGCTATCAGCTCGACTCCTGGTTAGAGATGTAGCCACTAAAGAGAGCTTAAGCTGGGATGCATCAATTGTTCCAAAGCACTTTACTTACACTTACATTATTAAACAAGCAACGAAAAAATCAAAAAACACCATCGAAAAGGGATACAAATTTTTATTTGAAAATGACTGTCACGACGATTATTGTAGGCTTATATGGACAATAAATTCATGCAGAGGGGAATGCTTTAAATCACTGAGGAAGAATGAAAGGCCTCACAATTTTAACAGTCGTGATAAATGCTCTTGTACAGCAGGAGGAAATGGTTACTGTAATCACATGTTAACTGTATAATCATGTGTACAATTAACCGTAAACTATTTCCGTGTACATACCATCCTTTTAACACTGGTGGCTGTTTTTGCTTTCCAGGTCACATTTCGTAGTGATCCCTTTATATTTTAAGGGATTTCCTTCCAAGATGTGCCTTTCTTTATTTTTTAAAAACAAATAAAGTTCCATCATTGCCTGAGGTCTCATTTGCTCAATGCGTGAAAAATGAAAGTTATTATTCCGCCATTGTGATGCGACCAAAAATGCTTTTGAACTGAAGAGCAATACTAGACCAAACTGATCACGATTCGGAAAGAAGTCGGTAGAGATGGGAAAATGGAAGGTTCAATGATGGTTTTATAAAAGATATTCATCCCAAATTGGATGAAAATAAATACTTTGCTGTTTGACTTGCATGGTGTCAAACTATGCGTCAGGACGTAAACATGCAAAGCATCGATATATTTTGGCTGTAAACTTAACAGGTACCTTCCGTTGTCCCAAAAGGCAAATTGCCACGAAGAAATATCAGATAACTTGCTCGTCATCCATGTGTTATCTTAAGCAAAAAAACAGCAATAAAAAGTACAATTTGCGCACTGTCTTTTTAAGATTTGCTTTTTAAGATCGAATAGTATCCCATGATGCACCTCGTTTCATGCTATATTATCACTGCGTACGTGACATAATTATCATGATCACTACTCTTCAGCACGCGCGTAATGAACATCGCAGTGCTCGGTGTTTCCAAACATGTTTCGGTTCAGCAGCTTCTGCTTTTGAGAATATTGAGTTAGCTGATATTCATTGCGCTTTAAAGATGAATTTCAGCGTTACTTTGAAGGGTCTGATTGGCTACTCAATTACTGAATATCCTTACATGTGTTTCACTGATCTATCGAGAACTACTTGTGCTTGGCAACTGAAAGGTTCACCAGGAGAACCGAAACCATGACTGATCTAAAAAGTGACTCCAACAAAACAGCCGCTTCGCTGTGAAGGTAATTGCCAAAGAAGGATTTATTTCAGCATCGCGCTCAAAGGAGCTCAATTGCACTATTCACTGATTCAGCTCCAGTTCCTCCGAGCGAGCGACCCCAAACTCGCGTAAGTTGCGAGCAAAGTGCCTTCCCGGTTTGCTGCCGTAACAAACAAAGAAATTTCACAACTAATCAAGCAAGCTGTTCCCGAAATACACGAAGAAGGTGACGAAGTTCGGTTTGGAAGTTTTAACAGGTAAAGCTTTGTCTTTTTGACTCGAATTTATCGATAAAACCGGTGAAAAAGTTTTTTGTTTACAAATGCAAATTAAGCTGAAGTCTTGCGTTACTTTATTTAGTTGACTTGTTCCTAAATAAGCTTAAAACTAAATTTAATAGTCTTTTTTTACAGAATGATTTTAAATACAAAAAGAATTCACAACTTCTTTTGAAGAAATTTTCGCGCAAGAGCTAAACAAATGCCTTCAAAAGTTTTATTTGTTGGCAAGAAAAAGCGCCGGCCGCGGCCGCTCGGTCATTACGCGCCAAAATTGTAATCGTTGGCAACAGTATTTGAGTTAAAAATCATCATTTTTGTGCTCAATTATCTCACTGTTCACTGTTTTAGTATATACTAAAACAATTATTCACCTCAGTATCAGTGGCTAGTTGTGAATATTCACGACTAGCCACCTCCACCTTGGTGAGTAATTGTTATCTATGTGGAAATTTCGCTCTTAAGTCATTGCAAATCGGAGAAATCATGTCAAATAACAAAATAATGCAATTTTCTTACTTTTACTGGAACAAAAATGAGAAAAAAGGCGACGAGAAAAAGGCCTTATTTCGATATTGCGTGATGCTTCTGGAAAAATGCATCATGGAATACTATTCGCTCGTCGTCTGATTTGCCTTAAAAACTGAAATTTCGAAATACTTCATTTTCAGTCAGGAAAAACCCTTTGGTGAAACATTTTCGAAAATCACAATCAAAGTCTCCAAAGTTTTTTTTTTTTTGCGAGAAAACCGCCAAAAAGTGAAATGCTGCCCCACGTCATATAGTCGCCGGTCTAAAACCTTTGAATTTTACCATTTTCAAAGCCCTCGGGAAGAAAGGCGGTTGAAGGAAACAAGTTAATCTTTGGCAGGTAAGTAAGGCATCCCAGTTAAAATGCCATTTGGTAAAAATATTGCAAGATAGTGCAGTTTTCACTCGGTTAAAAATCGCCCGAAGATTCCTATCTTCAGCACTTTCATAAGAAATGAAATTTTGGGAAACTTTAAGGGAAAAAATCACGGCTTGGTACATGGAATTTTAGAAGAATTATTATACCTCCGTTAAAAAAATCCAGCTTGGGCAATTAAAAAGCAACCCGTCGAGAGAGGTAAACGCGAAGTTCACTTTCGATGTTTTTGCATAAAATGTTGAAACCGTCACGCAACCAGGGGTAACGCAAACTCCATAAAATTATATTTAATGGGCCCAAATATGCACTTTTTTTTTTCGATGAAGATGAATAGATAGTGTTCTATAATGGTGTATCTAATGAATATTTAAGTCTTCTATGAATATCGTTTTTTTTAATTACAACGTATAAAGGACTGTTAAAAACAGACATATATTCACTATTGTATCTAACGCCCTAAAGAACAATTTAGCTGTAAATTAACTCCCCTAGGAATCCCACGTGCGCCTAGTCCTTATTTAGGGCGCCATACTGGACATTATTGCAAACCTTTGATATATGTGCTAAACTCCAGTTTGATATGCTCATTGCCATATAAACATGCTAAACTCCAAATAAATATGGTGTATCTACTTCTGTTCTATATGGCCATTGTCATATAATTGAGCTAAACTCCAGATAAATAGCCCGCAATAAATAAATACAGCCTGTTTTCAACCCCTAAAATTTGCAGTGTTCTCTGAAAAAAATTAGCATGCTCAACTTTTCATTTCGTATGGTATGATGCACCGCGCGCTTTTAGCAATGCCGATACCCAGATCCCTATCGGCCAAAATAGGCCGCCATTTTGAGAATTGCAATAGGGCAGCAATGGCGGAAAGTAGCGAAGATTTTCGAGAAGCATTATTAAATATCGCTCTCCAGGCAAGGTCACTAGTGGACAATTTTAATGATGGTAATGTGCAGCCTATTGAGCAACGAATGTTGAGTTAGAGACATCATGAAACGGGAGTGTTGTCGACGCGAACACCATCAAGTCAGACAGGAAATGTAAATATGGAAAGGACACCAGTCAGCACTCAGTTAAGAGATTTATTTCCGACTATTGGTACGAGATCATTTGGTGGAAAATCTTCTGAAAGCAAATCTAGTAAAGGTAAACGACCTCCCCCCAAAAAACCGAAGAAAGATATAGTGCATAAAGATATAGTTCTTCTTCCTTCTCCTGACACGAAATCAGTTCCCACGCACGAGACACGATATCGATTGGAAAACAACGGTTTTGTTGTTCATGCATTTCCAGTAGATAAGTCTCTACAGGAGGAAGATCTGAGAGCTCAAATAAGAGAGGTATTCCCAGCTCTTAAAGAAACAGACTTTGAATTTGTGAAGGCGCGCTATGGCCAAATAATCACACCAAAGTTAGCTACAGGTGTGTATTTCTCATCTTCCCGTGTTCTTAGCCTTGCTGGGCAAGGGAGCATATACATTCGACCAGCGCATGATATCTCTGGCAACCTTGCTAGCGACATTGACAGTCCTCCCCAGAGTCCAGACCCAGTTCAAGTGGAAGTTGCTGTTGACGAAGCATATAGTGGTCCTTCAAATGCTTCATACCTTTCCGTCACTGGCCCATCAAGCAGTGCAACAGCATCTAGCAGTGCAATACATGTAAACCAGGAAGAGTTAGACCAATTAAGAGAGATGTTTCCGGAAAAAAACAGCAGCTTGCTGCAACGTGCCTTAACCTGCCGTGGGAGTGTTAGTCGTGCTGCTTTTTCCCTCTCCTCCCAAAATCTTCCTGATGAAATTGACTCAGATGAGGATGCTGATGCAGAACTTTTAAAGCCTGCTTTTCCAGCTAAAGCTGATTCCTTGGAGGCAGTGTTGAAGGAGCTTCAGAAAGGTTTGAGTACACAGAAACAAAAGCTCAGAGTTGATGAAGAAGATATCTTTAGTGATGCCATGGTATACTATAAAGATCCCAGCTTTGATCCTAGCAAGCCCTTACGAGTCCTTTACACAGGGCAGCCTGCTGTGGACACAGGAGGAGTAACCAGACACTTTTTTAGCCAACTTCTCCAAGTCATATGTAACATGTTCTTCCATGGTGACAGTTACAAGCATCCAGTTTACAATGCTGATATTGTTGCTTCTGGTATGATGAAATACATTGGGACAATTATAGTGCACAGCATTTTGCAAGGCGGGCCAGGGTTTCCAGTCTTTAGCCCTTCAGTGTATCAGTACCTTGCAACAGGTGATGTTGACGCGGCAATGATGATGCTGAATTATGGAGACTGTTCTGCATCTGTGAAAGATTTCATTGACAAGGTATTGTATAAATGAACAGTTAAATGATGTGCTCAAATGTAACAGCATACTTGCTATTTTTAGTTCACTGTACGCGATGAATAAATCATTATATTTGGTCGAATGTAAAAGCAAACTTAAAAAATTCTCTTTTCATGACTGTCTGCTCAGCCATATGTACCAGATTGATTCTCCTAAAAAAAAATTCCAAATAATTTCTGATCCAACTACTGATGTGTCAACAGCTTCTACTGAGGTATAGCACGTAAATAGAACGAATGGGCTTGACATCCTAGCGGCTATATTCATGTATCATAATCTACATGCACCAACCTGAGTCCCACAGGACCATAAGTGCACAGATGTATGTTCAACAGATTGACATGCATGTCCTAACAGAAATGCAAGGATTGACCCATAGTTTTTATCAACTTACAGGTTGCTCAGGCCAAAGATGTCTCGACACTTGACCAAGAAGAATGTGCAAATTTCTTGTCGGATTGTGGCCTGGCAGTATTAACTGTAAGCCTAATCTTATCTTAATTGATTCCTTTTATTAAAAAACTGCTTTGTGACAGAACTGTAAAAGCATTTTTCAAATTGTATTTTCTATTCATAGAATGACAACAAAATGAGGGTTATCCAAGGGATGATAATTCATGATGTCATAAGCCGACCCAAAATCGTCTTGGATCAGCTGGGAGAGGGATTGGCTGTACTTGGCTTTCCTGCCAAAATGAGAGAGTACCCTGAGATGTTTGAGGAGCATTTTGTGCCAAGCAATAAGAGTAGGTTAACTTCAACTCAGCTGGTTGATATGCTAGAGTTTCCAGCTGAGATATGTGAAAATGACAGAATTGTAGCGAATTACCTTAAACAGTTCCTGCATAATGCAGAAGTTGAAATGTTGGAAAATTTTGTCTTTTTTGCCACTGGGTCCACTTCTCTGCCCACCTTTGGGCTTGCTAAAATCAAGATTAAATTTGACAACACTTCTTCCATTTTTGCTTCCACGTGTTTACTTTCATTAACTCTTCCAAATCACTTTGAAAGCGAAGAAGCTTTCAGTTCATCGCTGAAAGCAGTCATTGCTAGTTCTGCAAGGAAATCGTTTAACTGTGTGTGATTAGTCTTAACAGCTAATCCAAGGTCTTTTAAAGTGATGTTGTGTTTTGAAAGGAGTATTTCCTAACTTTTTTAGAGACATATTTATTGACTGATACTTGGCAATTGCCACTGTAACATTTTAAGCATATGAAAAAGTATTTCAAGCATACCTCATTGGTGGTAGAACGTTATAGTTATTGTTCATGGTATTTTGCCACTGATACTTGGCAATTGCCAATGTTATTACATTTTATGCTTTGAAGAGGTATTTGTTCATGCCCATAAAGTTAGCCCTTCAAGGTTTAGAGTTAACGTTTAACTTGACATGCGATACAGGCTATCCATAAGAACTCAGAAACTAGACAATCTTTTAGGGCTTTTTGTTTGGAAGCTAATTATCCTCCAATAGCTAGGCCATTTGCACTAAGAAGTCACGTGACATCGTTTAGATGAAAATGAAAGTTATATGATTTTGCCCTAAGAAAACAATTAGTGGGTCATAGCTTCAACAAAATAAAAGTAATTAGGTTTTTCAACCTGCACCATTTCCTTAATGAGTAAGTTCGTGGCTGATCACATGACCAGAATTATGTGCTCTGTCAATTTTGGCATCGGCAAGATTCCAACTCATTGTTCAAAGGAAGCATTAGTCACGTTACCTCTTAGTGTAAGTGGCCTATTCTTATTGAAAAGTCTATCTCCAAACTTTTGCACTGAAACATTGACATTGTTGCTGTTCATGTTCCTAAAGGGAAGTACCTTTATCCTCATGTTATTTCTTAATATAGTGTTTTACATGAAACAAACGTTTTTCTGCAATTGGCCAAAATGACTGATTAGCTTGGAACACTTAGAATGCAATGTATAATACATGTATTAAACATTGTCCTTCCTTTTTCCATACTATCTCTTGTGTTTGTATTAAGTATCAGTCATCAATAATTAATGTGGAACATGCAAGTGTAACATTTTTTTCTATTATTTGTTTTCTGCGCAATTAGTTTATAGCTCTTTTCGTCCTTTCATTTGGTTTATTTGCACAATTAAGTTTTTATTCCTTTCTGTCAGTTTTCGCCCCCCTCGTTAGCGTTTCTTTGCTGTTTCATCATCGTTAGCACCTTTCTAAGTTTCTATAGTTTTATATCTGCATATTCTATGATAGTTTTGCAGTATAGTTTGGTCTCAGTTGATTTTGGTCCACGGTTAGTGCAGTTCTGATTAGTTTTTGTCAGTCTCTTCGTGTTATCCGCAATTCGCTTCACAGCAGTTTTCTCTGTCCGAAACAATGTAAGTCAGTGTACTTCACAGTCCTTGTTTTTGCAGGCTTTTTATTTCTTTATTCTGATTTTCCTTTGTCACAACTTGTAATTTTTGCTCTCTTCCTGTTTTAGTTTCACCACGTATTTTATTTCAAGTACCAAGCACGTCAGTTATAATAAATCTTGGGGTGTGGTCTGTTATTAAAGGCCATGAGACTATTATGCTTATTGCAGTTACAAATGGCTATAGCTATGGATTAATTTATAATCAGTACAATTCAAACCATGGACCTAAATGTCCTGCTTTCATTTAAAAATGATTTTGTTTGACGGATCATTGACAGATTTCTTATGATAACCTTACAACTTGTTTTGCTGCTTGATATCAAAATCAACAATACAACAACTACTGTACAGTGAACAAAACTAAAGCAAATGACCTCCAATTTCACTGTTACATGACCTAAATGCCAACCAGGACACAGCCAGGATTGGGACTATGACAGCCTTTATTACAACATGTAAATAGGTAATCTCTCAAATATAGGTACAATATTAAAGTGAAACGGGTAATAAGACTAGTTACACTCAAATGGAATCAACAAATGTATACATAAGTTGTAAAAACAGCAAGACTGTCAGACATAAAGGAAATGAATATACTACCAAAAACTACCCAGGGTGGGTAGGGTGGGAAAACTAGTAAATGCAGCTACTAAAGACTGTTTGCTAGCCGAGCTATATTGTACTAAGGTAAAGGCTGTCTTAGTCCCAGTACCCCCCATATTTGATATTTACAACAGCATCACAACCCTGATGCCTACCCTTTAAAATCAGAACTCATCAGACCGGTTTGCAAACTGTTTCTGTAATGAATCAAGGAATACAAAGATGGCTAAATCTTTTGATTTTAATGGATAACTAGCATTGAAATTGGTATGCACCTAAATGAATAGAAGGAAACATTAAACGTCAATGCTGTGACATATGCAAGTTATTTCCTTACCTGAACTCGCGTGCTACAGCTACACATTGGACACGACAAATGAGAAGCCAGAATGCTTTCTATTTCTTGTAGTAAAATTTGCGGATGACACTGAGCAAGTTGTTATCAGTAATGATATGATTACATTGAAATATATTTCTACATTGAAAGTTGATTTCAGTAAACCTTGAGGGGAAGTTTTTTACACTCAGCTCATAAAATGGCCAGTTGCTTAATGTCTAGGTCCCCTGCCCCTCTTCAAACCCAAACTTAAAGCATCTCATTAACAACACCCACAAGCTCAACATATTTAGACATTCGTTCACTCCTTGTTAGGTTTGTGGGTACTAGGGAGTGAAGGTAATCCAGCTGATCTTCACTCAAAGGTATGTTACTGCTGGGAACAATCACCTCTTGATCCTCTTCATCTACCCCATACCAAATTAATTCTTCCTCTGATAAAATACCATCCAGAGGTGAGTTCCTGCCATTTGCAGATCTTAGAATACCCTCAGTCCAAAGCTGAAGAGGAGATGAACCACCTTCTGTGCTAAGGCCATGGTAATTCCACTGCCTGGTAAATTCATCCAGAGATTTCTTAATTTCCTGCAGAAATACAAGGTGAAGTGACAGTAAATGGACTTCATTGATAGGGTCTAATAGACCAGATCTTTCTATCATGTTGAACTCGTCTATATAGCTTCTAAGAACACCACTGGTCACATCTCTATGAAGCCGTTCGACTCTTTGATTGTGCACTGAACTTCCAGTTATCATGCTCCCTCTGTTGACTCCCCGACACTCCAACATCATTCGGGCTACACCCATGTTTTCGAGACCATAGTCACTCCTAACCCTTGAAGGCATTCCATAACTTTGGCAGGCATTCTGAAATAGTGCAAGTACTGTATCGGATCTGTTGTTGTTTGCACAGTGCAGATATGGTATCAACCTAGAATATCCATCAATAGCAGTATGTACCACAAGCCGCCAGCGTATCATCTTATGGTTCCCATCGATGTGCCACAGTGCATTTGGACCTCGTACATTGTACTTTCTTCGACAAATAGTTCCTCTCCACCGAAGTGCTGTTCCAACTGAATCCAACGCATAAGTTCCCTGACTTTCCATCGCGGCACTCTTATTCCCCTGCTATGTAATGCACCTATCATTCTGGTTTGACCAATCCCAGGGGTAACAGTCATTATTTCTTGCATGATTTCTCTTAGTTCTCCATTCCTAAGTGAAGACCAGTTAACCTCCCCCTCGTCCTCAATTTGAAACTCTTGTCGTCTTCTAGTTAGAGTTTTTGTGGAAATTCCGAGTAGTTCCGCTATTCAAGGAAAGGAAGGAAAGGAAAGGAAAGTGCAACTCTCGAAGAAATTGTATTTGCCTTTTAGAAACTTTAAATTTTGGCTGACCTCTCGTACCTGTGTAGTTCCTTTCGCATTGGTGAGCTGGCACATTCAAAGTGCTTTCACTTAAATCATCTGCTATATTCTCAAAATATACTCGGAGTCTTGTCAAGTATAAGGACAGCTGATCCATGTTGCTATAAAAGTTTCCCATTTCCAAATCACGATCCGCGCTAGTGAGTTCGGCAGCCCTCTCTTTCAAAATAAAAACAGTTTCTCCAGCCTCAGACAGCCTTTCGTGTAACATTTCTATTTCATCTATGTTTTCAATAGATGAAAGTATAGACATGTATTGTTCCGCTTCTGCAAGAAGTGCTTTTGTCCTTTCAAAAAAGGATATAAGTCGATTCTCTGATCCCGCTATACCACCAAGGGCCGCCATTTTGGTTTACCGCCAGTGGCCGATAGGGATCTGGGTAGCGGCATTGCTTAAAGCGCCCGGTGCATCATACCATACGAAATGAAAAGTTGAGCATGCTAATTTTTTTCAGAGAACACTGCAAATTTAGGGTTTGAAAACAGGCTGTATTTATTTATTGCGGGCTATTTATCTGGAGTTTAGCACGATTATATGACAATGGCCATATAGAACAGAAGTAGATACACCATATTTATTTGGAGTTTAGCATGTTTATATGACAATGAGCATATCAAACTGGCGTTTAGCACATATATCAAAGGTTTGTTTTTAACTTAAATCGCCTTCAAGCATTTTCAGTTCAGCTTTTATTTCAACGTTGCTTCTTCAAGAGCACTAAGTAGTAGTTTCCTGTCAGGAGTATCTCTTTTGCGGTCTTTGAGAAGTTTTGCGACAAAAGGATGCATATGTAAGTGCGTTGCTGTATTTCTTTTGCGCTCGCGGTAGTTCCTTGAAGTTTTATTTTCACCTTGTATTTCAGTTTAAACCGCAACACAACACACCAAATACGACCAATTTACGGTACATCGGACCTAATGTCAGTCCAGTCTTTGGGGTCAATACGCTCTTCTCACTTATGGTAATATGCCCGTCTAACCTCGTTTACGGGTAAAAATTCTTTTGAAATTCAAATACGAAAACGTCGTCTGATTAGCATTTCAAAGGACTTTTTACTCAAAAACGAGGTTAGACGGGCATATTACCATACGTGAGAAGAGCGTATAGTCTACCATCTTACTTATTGCTGTGACCCTCGAGGACTCAAATTGAAATAAATTTGTGCGTCTATTGTTAGCACTGATCAGCAAAAGAAGTCGCCTTACGGCGACTATTTTCACGATATTCTTTTAATGATTCACAGGCAAATTATCCTGATCCTGATGCTAGTACAGCCAGTCGATAGGATCAGACTTTGAGCTGCTTCAGACATCACATACAACATGGGGCCACAAGTACCAACAGTAACGTCTTAATTTCTCTTAGGACGTATGTTACATCCAGGATACTTACGAAAAATTCTTTGGGGGAGCGTGGGAGAGGGAGTATTGGGTGCTTCTTGGTGTTGTGGAAACCATTGTCGGTGTGGGTTTTATTCATTGTGTTATCAATCTTTTGGTGGTTGGTGATTGCTCGCGTTCGAATGATCCCCACCTACCCCTCCCCTAAGTCAACGTTAGCACTTACTTCTCACTTAAGGCAAAATGTTAGCTTAGGGGAGGGGTAGGAGGGGAGTTTCCCAGAAACGTATAATGATCACGATGTTTGTTTAAAATCCCTATATGGTTTGATTGTAAGTTGGTTTAGCGTTTGTCTGTTACTTTAAGTAGCATTGCGCTATACAGAGGAAAAGTATTAGGGAAGCAACTGCGTTATCCATTGGACAGAGATTCAATTGGTGGATAGCATTATATCTACCTTTTAAACAAGTGGCGCCAGAAAAGCTATCACACTTACCCGCATGTCATTTTCTCCTCTACTGTCAAGGACTTTATTCTGAAACTTCCTGGAGTCAACTTCAAGAACTACAGGTACAGACTCATAACGTGACAATTTGTTTTGTAGCGTTATTCTTTATCGTCACGTCAAACGAATTCTACGTCACTGCTTTGCTTTGTCCCTGGGCCTCATTATCCAGCGCGGTCTATGCATTTCGGGTCACGCTAAGAGCGAATTTAATGATCGAGAAAGCCTGGAAAGAAGCCAGACAGGAACTTGGTACCTAGGTTATTCAAGGCAATTAGCAAAGAAACAGTGAATCACATACTGCCTTCTGAGAAGAGTCTAAACCGCCAGCATGAGATGGAATATCACGTCATGAGATTTGTAGCAGTCCTTCACGATTGACGCGTCTGCGAGCATGCGAGCGAGCGACTGAGGCGTCTCTCCCCAGCTTGCCTCTCGTTTCGCTCGCTCTCCATTCCTTCCATTCTGGTAGCTATAGACATCATCGTTGTGTCGCTAGAGAGAACTGACGGTTCGTTAACTTCTGCCTTCTTTTCAGATTTATTATGAAAAAAGTGACAAACATTCAAGAGTTGTGTCAGTTGTCAGAGGAGAAACTAGCGAGTACCTTGGGGAACACCGCGAGTGCAAAACAACTGTGGGAGTTTATCTACAGTGACGGCCGGAAACAAACAAAGGCTCCGCAAGTCTCAGTTAGAAAAAAAACATAACAGTGATAAAACTGAGTTTATTTAATTACAACTGTTGTTCGTTATGCTCACAACTTTGTGTGCTTGTAATCTGCTATAAAATTCCAACAACACAACCAAAAAAGCGAACGCAACGGCAACTAGACGTTCTAGACGCATGTAATAAAATGTTTCATTTGAGTAAGTCGAGGCTATTTTTCTTGTAAAACCAATGACCCAAACAAACAAACAAACGAAAAAGGATCCCGTTTCGCTGTTCAAACTAAGTTAACTGAAAATCTGACGTTTCAACTCTTTTATTTTATAATTACCAATATTTTACCTCTAACATTTTTCAAAAGGTCAATTCTGTTGCCTTATTTTTAAGAAACCTCGATCCTGTTATTCCGCCCTATTTATTACAACAGCGCAGACACTAAAATTTATATACAGCTTCAGTCGGTACTTCATTGTTCCCGGTTATCATTCATGCCTTAGATGTACCCTTTGAGGAGGAGATTAAACGAGTTAAGTTCCCGATCCGGGAAGTCATGTCCAGTACACTCAACTATATTCCAGTGGTCAAAAACTGGATTCCACTAGAGTAACTAGAATTCTAGTCGTGAAATGAAACAGGAAGTACAATTAACCCTAAAGGAGGGTTGAAAACTCGTCTGTTGGAGTTCACTGGAGTCCACTAGAGTTACCGGAAGTCTAGTCGAAACAAGCACGCTACTTTGTGTATATGCTTCGGGGAGAATTCGAACAAACCGTGGTTCTGCTACATGTTTCCCGCGCACAAAGCTGTGAAGGTATTTGTCATTTTCACGTACCTCATTTCTGTCCCTTTATATATTTTGATATACTTCGTTTTCCCGCGGTTTAGGTAGCCGATGGAAGGCCACATTAGCATAATCTTGTCTCGTTTTAGGCATCATCATGATCCCTATCTGGGTTCTTCACTAGAGATCCATATTCTGAATTTCTTGTCGTTTGCCGGATCTGAGTGGGCTGCAGCTCCATATAAAATGATTCCACTTTAGGAGACGGGACTTCTGCATCGCCTAAGGTGGAAAGTTGTTGCAATCTTATCAAAGTAGAGGAGAAAAAGGAAGAATGGATATCTTAACAAATTAATGTAAGTCTGTTTTGTTTTTATTTTATTTTTTTTTTCTTGGGAGTGGAAAGGTGGAGTTCTGTCGTCATTACAAAACAAGCCCACAGACATCAGACATAACAGAAGAGGTTCATTATTACCTTTTTTATTCATTTGTTCATGTATTTATTTTCATTCCTGTGACTATTTTTCTCGCACAAATTGCTTAGCGCCAAGTGTAATTTTTTTCCCTCTATCTTCTTCCTTTTTGGTAAAGACGTTTTAAGAAAGTATATATCGAGCCGTGTGTCAAGTACGATTCATTATCGTTACTGACCATACCTACCAATTTCAACATATCTACAGACTAGGGATAAGAAAGTATTTAGATGTGCCGGGTACGATTAATAAACGTTCCTGATCATACATTCCAACTTCAACATATCCAAAGGAAGAAAGTATTGAGATATGCCAAGTTCGGTTAATAAGCGTTTCTGAGCATACCTGCCAATTTCAACATGTCTATACCCCTACAGGCTAAGGGTAAGAAAGTATTGAGATGTGCCAAGTACGATTAAGAAGCGCTCCTGACCATACCTACTAATTTCAACATGTCTACTGGCTAGGAATAAAGAATTATTGAGATGTGCCAAGTACAATTAATAAGCGTTCCTGACCATACCTACCAATTTAAAAAGGCTATAGGCTAGTGATAAGAGAGATGTGCAAGGCACGATTGTTCCTGATCATACATTTCAACTTCAACATGTCCAAAGAAAAAGAGTATTAAGATATACCAAGTACGATTACCATTCGTTTCTAACCATACCTTCCCATTTCAACTTGTCTACTGGCTAGGGATAATAAAGTATTTGGACGTGACAGGTGCGATTAATAACCGTTCCTGACCATACATTGCAGTATTAACATGTCCCTAGGCTAGGGATAAGAAAGTATTGAGATGTGTCAAGTACGATTAATACTCGTTCCTGGCCATACCTACACATTTCAACATGTCTACCGGCTAGGGATAACGAGGTATTTAGATGTGCCAGGTACGATTAATAAGCGTTCCTGGTCATACATTCTAACTCAACATATCCAAAGAAATAAAGTATTGAGATGTGCCAAGTACTATTAAGGAGCGTTCCTGACCATACGCACTAATTTCAATACGTCTACACGCTAGGAATAAGAAAGTGTTGAGATGTGCCAAGTAAGATTAATAAGCGTCCCTTACCATACCTACCAATTTTAACATGTCTGCTGGCTAGGGATAAAAAAAGTATTGCGATGTGCCAAGTACGCTTAATAAGCGTTCCTGATCATACATTTCAATTTCAACATGTCCACAGGCTAGGGATAGGAAAGTACTGAGATGTGCCAAGTACGATTAATAAGCTTTCGTGCCCATGCCTTGCAATTTGAACGTGTGTGCAAGTTATGAATAAGAAAGTATTGAGGTGTGCCAAGAACGATTAATAAGCGTTCCTAACCATAAATACCAATTTCAACAGGCCGACAGGCTAGGGATTTGAAAGTATTGGGATGTGCCAGGTACGATTGATTTGGGTTCCTGGCTATACATACCAATTTCAACATGTTTACGGGCAAGGGATAACAAAGTATTGAGATGCGCCAATAATCGTCCCTGGCCACATTTACCAGTTTCAACCTGTCTGCAGGCTATAAATAAGAAAGTATAGAGATGTGGTAAGTATGATTAATAATCGTTTGTGACAATCTCTACCTAGTCTTACGCCCCCTGAAGGCTAAGGAAAGAAAGTACTGTATTGATATGTGCCAAGTACGATTAATTCTGATCACATTTACCAGTTTTAACCTGTCTGCAGGCTATTGATAAGAAAGTATAGAGATGTGCCACTGCGTACGATTAATAATTGTCCCTGACCACATTTACCAATTTCAGCCTGACTGGAAGCTATAGATAAGAAAGATGTGCCAAGTACGATAATAATCGTTTTTGAAGGATTCTTTCCTCCGTATAGACTGTATTTCTTTCACACACAAATTAATTTAAGTTGTCATTCATATGGCTATTTTTCGAGTTATTGCTGAAGAAGTTTCATTTAAAAATTACATCATAAATAGCTTCATGCATGTGACGTAGCACTGATGAAGAGGTTTAATTTGGATAGTCACACATGTAGGTTTTCGTCAAAAGATTCCAAATTTAAAACCGCGCGAAACATAAACTATAAATGTGAACGTACTAATAGAAAGGTTCGATTTTGATAGTCACATCATCTAATTTTGTCCAGAGACCAATAGTTAAAACTACATGCAAAATAGCTAGCTTCATGTGAACACGCCACTGAAGAGGTTTTAATTTAAATGGTCAAACTATTGGATTTCATCGACGGACTAGTCACCGAAGTAAGATTTCGAACTAAATCAGTAAAACATAAACAAATACAGTCATGTAAACGTGCTAGAGATACGGTTTCATTTCCACAGCCGATCACATCAGACCATTTTACAACAGAGATAAACTAGGGACTATTTTTGAAATGTCTCTATTATTGAATCTGGAAGTAAAAAGATTAACTTTAGCGCAAGTCTCAGACGATTGTGGTTTTCTTCTTTGAATTTCCGGCCTTTTCTGTAGAGTGAGCAATAGGCGTCACTTCCAAGGCCACAGCCTGCTCATTACCATTGAATTCTTCTAGTTCTATGTCGCCCTCACTCCCCGACGAGCCACCGTAAATCTCTGATTTCAGCATCTGTTGTCTCTCCTCCGATTCCGGATCGAATTGATCTTCCACGTCACCTGGTAATGGAGGCAAGGGATTGTTTGCAATATTTTCACTTGATCGCCTATAAGAAGAAAACAACGCTGTCAACCATAGTAGATTCCTATAAAATTGACCATACATTTTAGGTCATGCGCACGATTATAGAAGGCAACGTAAATCACACGAAAACATTTTACGACGAGCCGATAATTCTGTGAGACAAGATCGCAATGTTCTATTTTATTATCATTATTTCAAATCTTGATGCCAACCGCAATGGACTCGAAACTTGATTTGTACGCAACGAACGGAGTTAGACTTTCTCACTCTGAGATTAACACGCTGTTATGCCTTAAAGGTCAAAAATAAAAGGCGTTCACGTTGATTAAGCGTCTTCCCCTAAATATTCGCGGGCCAAACTGAAAAATAAGAGTCTCCCTGAATAACAATCACCTCCAGCACACGGTCTTAAATATATTAAGTGATGTTATAAGGGAACCTCCTCTCCTCTCTCATTCTCTGAACGCTTGTTTACCTTGGATTAAACGCCAGCATTGACATAAGGGAACAGTTTCTTAGTAGCCACTCGTTCGGCTCAATTTTAAATTTACCGTGCACAGCAAGACCATTATCTGTATCCACGAGTTAAGCAATGTTATTTCTTACGTAACAATGTAACTGAGTCCCTTTCGTTCTTTGCCATGTCCATGCACGTGTCTCATTAACGATATACTGTCTCCTCAGTACTCCTTTGAAGAACCTATTTCTTCCCCAAATAAGCGCTCCCTCAGTGGCCAAGCTAGTATATAAGCAGAACTGACCCTACCTATCAGTTATTGAATTAACATAACAAAACGTATTTATTGTCGAACTAATATTGGGAAGTTCTTTAGCCTGGGACTTGTTGGCTCCTTTGTGGGTACGGAATACCGGGTGTGGACAACCCAGAACTTTTCAAGAACAAAAGCCAAATGCTTAATGGAGAGTACTAACCTGTCATAAACATCTGCTCTCGTCACAGGAACAGTGGGGTCTGAATCATGTGGTTCAAGGTAGTAATCTTTTCTGTCACCGTTGTTGTCTTCTGTTAAGTGAAGGTACTCGGTCGCGACACTCTGTTGTGAAAAATAAGCCCAATATTGAAGTTTAGAATAAACATACCAGCCAGGAGCCCATAACCCGGAGCGAGCAACTTCCATACTAGGCCTATGTCACGGCGTTTTTACGGATCAGTTTATTTTGAGACACATTTTAAGGGGCACTTCTTCCCGCGAAAATAAAATCTCCACCATATCTATGGGCGCATTCGAAGTATAAGATTTCAAAACGGAAACCTAAACGTTATCAAAAGGCAGAAAATACCATTTTTAGGTCTATAGGTTTTGCTGACTAGTTTGTGAAATTTAAAAGATATTCAAAATTCGTGAAAACGTCGTGACACAAGCGCATACAAGTTGCTCACTTCGGGGTCCCCCACTTAGTTAGACATTTGAATCCGCCACTGTCATTGCAAATTTGGTAATTTTTTAAAGAGCACACAGTATAAGTCATCTCTTCATATTCTTCCTGCAAAGCTTAATTCCCGCTCGCCCCATCAGAACAAAGGATATATACACTCAAGAGAGTATCCCCTTTTGATAAACTTCATTTTTTCCTTTGAAGGACCTAGTGTACAATAAGTTCTGACAAGTGAGAGGATAAGTTCTCTTAGTTCCTCCTTTGCCTCAAAAACAGTAGAAAAAAGGCCTCACCTGGGAAGCGCGTTGCTCAAGTATTGTACCAATCGACTGGCTGATTTGATCAAATTTAGGTCGCTTGTCGGGTCCTTCCTGCCAGCAATCTTGCATAATTTTGTAGATTTCCGAAGGGCAGTCTCGGGGATTTTCCATACGGTTTCCATCATTGAGAAAGTCTAAGAGCTCTTTTACGGGTATAGTGGGATACGGTGTGCCGCCCAGTGAAAAGATCTCCCACAAGCAAATACCAAACGACCATTTGCATTATCAAATGTCAAGGTTCAAAACATACGCACTCGAAGGCTCATCACAGCGTGGGTCATTCCAAACCAAAAGGGTGACAATAAAGCTCTCTAAGCTGTTTAAGCTAAACTATGGACTCGAGGAAACATATGGTAAGCTGCTATTAACTCCACTACAAGGGAATTATTGGAATCAAAACTTATATGGCTTGCATATGAAGCGCTACATTCAAGAATCGTTATCAGTAGTATTCTTTTTCTTTCGAGTACTATTTATAAAAAATGGAAAACGTTATGTGCTGTGTTTACATGCCCTGATGTAAACACGAGATTCGGGTGTTGGGAGAATTTAAGAGAATTCGTACAAATTGCAAACCACAGAAAAACAGTTTTCTGCTAAGTTGCTTTTATAGCGGCAACTTTCACGAGAAAAAGTTCCTACCTAGCTCTTTGTTTATGGCGCTGATGAAAAGAGCAGTTCTTACTAGTTGCGAAGTGTTGTATCCACTCGAAGTTTTGTACGTGTAATCAGTACGTTTTTGTTTTGCATTTATAATAAAGTTCAGATATAACGCGCGCTCTGATTTGTTGCAAAAGCGTGCTTTATGAGAGTATAAAACATGTGCTGACAACACTCTTATAAAGATTGTTTTGAAAATTAAAAAGGAATGTGTTGGGAATTAAACGGATTCTTTATATTCATAAAACAAATAAAGAAGTCTTGACTGAGCTCTATTCTGTTGTACTACTCAAGAAGTAGAGAGAAACATTCGACTACATCTCGTGTTCCCCCCTACACTTCTTTCGTGTTCTAGCCGCTGCCAGTCGTGCGTGCTTTACAACGTACAGAGCAGAGCTCAGTCAAGGCTTCTTTATTTGTTAAAAAAGGTGATATTTTAAAGGACGGATTGTTCTCCCTCAAAATGTCGTCTTGAGCGTAAAACTTTGATATAGTATGTTTTTAAAGATTTTTGAAGTTCCATGCCTCTAAGTTATGGGTTAATAAAGTAAACTTGTCGAGTTTTTCAAACCATGGTTGCGTGGTTGCGTTTAACTGTGTTACTCGCTTGCAAACATACTTCTCAGCCAATCGGAGAGCGCCTACTTAACTATGTTATGGCAAGTTTAACTTAATTGCAGTAATCAAAAGGCCAGCTTCTTTTTAATTTGAACGCCTAGTTACGCACTAATTATGTAGTTGTCATCCTTGAGTACGATCCCCTCATATTTTCATATTCTCCCTTCATTCATTTTTTTAAAATGTCATTTGTACTTACACATCACTTTTCTCTGAGTACTCCCTCAAAACCAATGATTCTATCGCCATCCACTTCACTGGCAAAACACCACTGCTTGTCTTCACATATAAGTCACTCTTGTAAATATTTCGAGCGAGACCAAAGTTCGCGATCTTCATGACGTAGTCTTCTCCAACAAGAACGTTTCTGGCAGCCAAGTCTCGGTGAACACACTACATAAAACAGATATGTTTTGAAAAAAGAAATGCAAAATCAAGAAATCAGAAACAAGGAGATAATAATAATATTAATAATAAGTCCGCTAATTTTAGAAAGACGATAATGGGGTGAGCTTGAGCTTGTAAATTAGTGTTTTATAATCTTAGTTTTAATATTTTTATTTCATCAAAATTTTATTTTATGATAGTGGAATGTAAATTGGTCATATGTTAATATAGATTTTTGCTGTTTTAAAAAGTAATAATAATAATAATGATAATAATAATAATAATAATAATGATAATAATAATCACAGTAAAAACAGGAAAAACAATTTTTATACCAACAGAGAAGTGCACACGCTACCGAAAGTAAAAGTAAATAAAGACTAAACATTGTTAAACAATGCTCTTCACTTACTCTGGAACGCTGAATTGTCAGTGAGAAACCAACGCTACAGACACTTACGTCTTCGCTTCTTTCGCTCCCGGTTTATGACTGATTTAATGTCACAGCTGTTGCGCACGCTTCTGAATGCCCGTAACCTTTTCTCCTACATGTTGCTTTTTCTAATCCTTTGCGAGAGCTTTTGGCTACTGGGGTCTCCTCTCTCTGAGTTACTTTACTTTTTACCACTTATTACTCATGATAAACTCTTACAGTGCGAATACTCGAAGCTGGGCTTTCTGGAAATAGATTATCCAAATACAAATCATAATAATCATGGCGGTTTTTGAAAACAAAAGATTCTCATTAAATTTGCGGGCTAAATCCTGAGAGTTCAGGTAAGTTCAAACGGTTTTTAAGTTATCAGCAGTTTCGTAGTTGCACAGTGGATTTTTTTGGGTCCGTTTACATTAACAGAGAATCTCTTGTTTTGAAAAAAAAAAAAAAAACGGTAAGTTCAAACGATTTGATTGGATAATAATCTTTCAAGCGCCCGGTTCAAGTAGTCATACTCTGTTAAACGCGAAAAACAAACAAATAGGCGCAGATTTAGAGTCGAATGAACGATTTAAATCTTGACAAAACTCCTTGAAGCCAAACGGTGAAAACAAGCAAGTGCTGGAGAATAGACCTTTTTAGCTTGTATGTTTTGTCTTCCCTTTTCAGACCACTTGATGGTACCCTAGAGAACCGTTCCTTTCAAAAGTTGTCCTTTGCTCGTGCATCCACGAGCATATGTATGAACATGTTAACTCCCGGTCCAACCAGGGCAAGCACACAGCTACGATCTTCAAAGAGCAAGAAAACGAGAAGAAGAGGAAATACAACCAGAGAGTGATGGATGTAGAGATGGGAACCTTTACACCACTGGTGTTTGGTACAAATGGGAGCATGGCACTCGACTATCAGAACTTTTTAAGAACTCTCGCAAATAAGCTTTCGACTAAGAACGATGAACCCTACGCCAGCGTTATTTCCTGGCTTCGAATACAGCTTTCGTTTTCTATATTAAGAACTGTACACAAATGCGTCAGAGGTTCTAGATATCCATTCAAATCACGTGAGGTCTCAGAGGACTTCACTCTCACTGTAGCTGGTCTACATCTGTATTCATAATTTTAGGCCTAGATTTTTGATGTTTTTTTTTATTATTATTATTTTTTTAATTGAAATGAAATCTTTTTAATTCGAATAAATTTTTCTTAGTTAAATTAACTTCTCTCTAAGCTCAATTGAGTGCTTTTTAAATCGACAGGAATTGTAAAGCGAATTAATTGTAAATAGGATTTTAATAGTTACCATTGTTGTCATATATCTTGTTTTTAATTTGCAAACAATACGATATAATTTAAAATATGTATGTATATTTTATGAAAAGACAAAACGAAAATTGCCTTGAGAACATCACGTTGTGTGAAATGGGAAAATAAAACATAAGCCAAAAGGGTCTATTACAACCAAGAGCCACTACAGCTCTTGTTAGAACTGAATTTTCTTCAGAAATGTGAGAATCCTTGAACGGGACAACATTACTACATTACCTTTTTCGACGCCAGATATTCCATTCCACGGGATATTTGGTAAGAGTAGTTTACAAGATTTGATATATTCAATCCTATCTCCGGGTTACTCGCAGTCGTAGTCCAGGTTGCTTCATAAACATCTCGCTTGCCTTGTAAGAACTCTTGTAAACTCCCATGTGGTGCATATTCCAGAATGACAAGGATACGATCTCGCTTGATACAAGCACCAAGGAGGTTTACAATGTTTTTGTGTTCTCCAACGTAAATTAGAATTTTCAGCTCTGACGCCAGGTCTCTTACTTCCTCTTTAGTAGCTCCCCCTGAAGCGGCAAAATATCGTACTCGGTCAGTTAAAAAAAGTGCACTTTCCACAGGGTCTAGTGGAGACCATGTCGCAAGCAACGTTCAGTTTAACTGTCACAAACCTCAGCAATAGGAACGAGCACGAACGGTACTCATGCATAAGAGAGGCCCTGTGCGAATTGCCCACCTCACCCTCGCTGAATCCAGGGGCATGGCTGGAGTTTTTTTCACTGGTAGGCACAGATTCCCAAATCAACCCTACCCCGTCTCCTAAATCATTACCGCGCAGGTAACCTGGTAACTCGTCCCCTCCCCTGCATATTATCAGCTGCTACAGTAACTATAAACCAAATTCCTTTTTTGTCCCCCTCCCCCAACCCCCGACAAGTACCAGCCACCCATGCTCCATGGTAAATGTTACACAAGTTGAAATAGAGATCTCTTAACTTGAAACATTACCTTTAACAGTCTTTACAGCTACGATGGTCTTCGTGTACGTACTGCTCCTGGGATCGTGGTACGCATGGCCGGCCCTGTGTTGACGAAACATTTTAGGTCGCCGGTGACCTTTCTTTTGACTTTTGTCTCTGGGACTAAAGTTGTTTATTCCTATAGCCTCTGCTTTAATGACTTCTCCGAAGGCCCCTGATCCTAGCAACTCCCCAAGAATGAGCTTGTCCTCAGGAAACTCGAAATCAGGGTCATAAGGCAGATCATTACATTGTTCAAGCAGTGTAATATTAGGGTCAATCTAAAACAATCAAAAAATAATTTATTACTTAACGTATACAATGGGGACCTATTTAGTCTGAGCAATGGTAAGTTTATTCCCTCCAACAGGAAACTGTTTGGTTCATGAGTATTACCTGAATTTAGAAGGCCATTTCAGGGCAATGGATCACTTTTTGAATCGAGTCAAAGAATAAACAAAAGCCAGTTTAGGTTTGAAAAGTAGACTTAGATTTATGGCCACTCCGCAAAGAAACTCGGCACCTCGTTCACGGTAGGTTGAAAAAAAAAAGTCGTGACTATTTTTGCGGAACAGACTGGTGCATTTTGCGAAGGACGTTAACCGGCACTGACGATAAATGTTTTATTCCAACAAACATCATTTTCAGACAAAATAAGTTGCAGCATCCAAGCGGGCACTGGTTGTTATGTAGTAGCTTCAATTTAAGCTCGTTTTACATGGTATTTTACCTGGTGTTTTCCAGTGTATACTGGAAAAAGCTGATTACGATACTCCATAATCTCCTTCTGCTGATGGCGTATAAAGCAAAAGAAGGCGAACCCCAGGACGATACAGAGGAACAGGATTGCTCCAACAACAGAAAGGGCAACAGTGGCTTCCTTACTAAGAACTTCTATTCGGTTGGAGCTGGTTGACACTAGAAAATATTCAAAGACAATATCGCTTATTGCTTCAGTTAAATTACATTATTGTGCATTCAAAATATTTCCCCAATTCTGATTGGCTAAAAGCACACGCATAATTCACCAGAACCAGTTACTGATGACCATCAGACGCTTTTGCCAACTTAACTCTAAACGAGTTGCTATGGATTGCCCCTTTGTCAGGAGGGGATATCGGGACCAGAGGAGGAGGAGCTGCGGTAAACAAACAAACAAACCAACAAACACTCGAGTTAAAAGACTGAAAAGCTAGATTCCACTAACAATCACAATATCGTCTCTAACACAGGTCCCCTAAAAAGTTATTTTTGTCTTTATTCTTTATATCGGGATAATTTCACGCGCGTTTTATCCAAAATTCTACTAATTTCCCGAGCCAAAATTATTAGGATTTGAACAAAACGCAAGTGAAATTATTCCCTAATTATTTGATTACCTATAAATATCACAGGTGACAAATTATGCTCATGCACAATCGCGGGTTTTTGACATGACATCTTGTTTAATCGTATCGATCGAGAACTCCATGCGCTGAAACGTTTAGACCTTAAATTGTGACTTATGTTCATAATTTTTAGAATTTTTCGACAAAATACCTGACAGGTTCCTTTTTGGTGTGCTTTTTTGTGCGTTTATTGTAAAGTGTCTTCAATGTCTTACATCTTCATTTCACTACTTGAACAGTTTTAAACTTGGATGCCATCTTGGCACTGAGACGTACGAAACGTTGCAATGGTATTTTGCAATTTCACACGTAAAATTATAAATTAAAGCGGAAATTTCGCGCAAAAATTAAGAAGTAATTTGTCACCCATGATATTATTAGTTATTTCTTATTTTGGAAGTGATCAAGGGGCAAAAAGAAACAGATACTTGTAGAAAACAAGCTTTAGTTAAGGAGTATACAAACCATCTTCTAACGTCCGAACTTACTTCTCAGGACCCGGTGGACCAAGAAAGTCGCCATTACTGACTGCGATTCTAATGAAATATACTGTCCATGTCTTCAGGTTCTGTAAGGTCTTATCGGTTGATGAGTCACTGACATTGACTGTTGTCCATGAAGGTTTCCCTTCTTCCTTGTATTCAATGCTGTACCCTCTAAGGGGTCCGTTTAAATTGTTGGTGCTTGGTATCTTGGATATGAACATGACTGAATTAGTGTTCAAATAATACATCGTTAAATAATTTCTCTTCCCCCTAGTTAAACCTTGCATGCTCATACGGACATGCCCGTGGTTATCTTCTAACATTTGCTTGCAAGTCACTACAACTGTCATAACTACGAGACCAGAATTTGGAGACCGCCGCAGATTATGGTAAATATCCAGCAAGGAAACCCTCCTCCGTGCAATTGTTGCTGTTATTGTTTTTTTGTATTGGTCCTTCTTCGTTCTTTTTGACATACTTGTGAATCCACAGCTATTGCAAACATACTTTATATACTTTATACCATAGTCAATCAAGCCTGTCAAAGTTTTTTTTATATATGTATGTTTTTGTTAGCTTTTTGAGGGCTTGACGGTGCATAATTCAATATCATTTCTATCAAATCGGGATTAGTTCGTTCATTCATAATTCACGAGAACAAAACGCAATCAAGGATTGTGAACTGTCAAGGACCTCACTTCATAAACAGCCGCAGAGTTATTTTTGTCTTTCCACTGATGTTCGCGGCTTAAATAACCAGTCTTCTCCTCATTATTTATGTTTATTTTCAAACCTTTTCACAGTGAACGCCATTAAACTTTAAGATCTGAAAATGATACATTTGCGGGATGGATGCAGACAATTATCTCAAGCCTTCACTTTAACCTCCTTTGCTTACACAAAGTCGTGAACATATTGAATAAACAACGATGGCAGTGTTTACACAGTAGATGCAGTGGTTACACAGGTGTTTCTGTCTACAATGAGGAAATCGGAGTCGTACACATGCAGTCGCCATTTATGAGTTTTGGGGTCAGAGATGATTGAGGCGTCGAAGGGGGGGGGGGGGGAAGGCGAGGGAAAGATCCGCACACCTCAATAGCGACTGGGTGATAGTCTTTGGAGAAGCATGGAAATAGGTTTTGTAAAAATAAATCTGATGTTTACCTGCCATTTCACAAGAATTGACCGCGAAGTAGGACTTGTTACACTCACGATCTGGACATCGACTTCAGGCTCTAAAAAGGGAAAGTAACAAGTAAAGTTTAGATTGATTAATACTCAATCAGAATAGCTCTGCCCTATGACCGGACGCCTGTAATCATTACATGAAAAATCAATGAATCAGTTTGCTTACACACCTTCATGATCATCTGTCACAGTTCTTCAGATTTCAGTGAAAATAAAAATCTGTAAATATCGATTATATGTCGAGCAGTAGGCAATATTTCTTAACTGAGTGGGACCTCTACAACGATATAGTGATCAATATTTTGGAAAAATAACGTATTATATACATTATCATTCTTTATTATATAAACACAAATGAGATACCAGGTGAGCTTGCGCGCGAAAACTTGCTATCTTCACATGTGAAAATATCACCTTTGCTATGGCTACATAATAAATCGCGCCTTTCACACCAAAAAACTGTTAAAGTGAAATGGTTTGGTATTTTATTGGTGTTTATATAATAAACAGAACATTACATGGCCTCTTGGAGATACAAAATTTCTCCTCTCGTGTTGAAAAAATGTTTCACTCGTCCGCTACGCTCACTCGTGAAATATTTTTCAACACGTGAACAGAAATTTCGTATCCTTGCGCGGCCATGTAATATCCTCTATTAGCACTGCATCTAATTTGCATCATCACTTACTGGCAGTTTTGGTTGTGAAATTCTGGAAATTACTCCACAGACCCTTTCCTAAGCCACTTGTGGCTATCAACCTAACACTGTAGGCTGTGTATGGCTTGAGGTTGATAATCTGTTTTCTTAATACAGCTCCCAAAGACATATCGTCTATAGAGGTACTATTTCGATACTCAAGATTGTAGTCAGTAACAGGCATTTCATCCACACCAGGACTATACGACCATGTGACTAATGTTGATCTTGCTTTAACGTCTCTTGGATTAACTTGAACAGCTGGCTGGCCTGGTTTCTCTGAAAACAGCAAAAATGTGCCTCTTAATGAGCCTAATTTATAAGGTTAAGTAATACTCAGCCCTTAAACCGTTAAACAAGTGACGAAATCAACGAATGAACAAACGCGCACACTGAAAAAAAGGAAAATAGTTTTAGAAAAATACGTTAAAAGTTGAGGGTTTTTTTTAAAAAGTGCTTCTTTCACCTAATACGGTAACCGTTTACTTTCATGTATTGTTGGAATGCAATATTTTCGTGTCCTTATAAAGGAATTTATGCTAGTTGCTGAAAACTGCGTGTTCACGAATATTAAATTAATTTTCACATACACAATAACGAGCAAAAAGGAGTTTCAAGGTACGCACAAATTGTTGCTTACTTAAGGACACTATAACATTTGTAGTGGTCAGATGTCTGCCTTGTATTCCAGAAAGTGACGAAGAGCATTGATAGGTTGAATTGCACTGGACTTCACTGGCTGAAAGGAGCTTTCTTGCAAAAGAGTTACTGTATATATTACTGGCACTGTTGTATGGTATGGTAAGAGAGGAGGTTGTGTCAGACAGCCCCGTTCCATCTCTGCTCCAACTATACCAAGAGGGTTGTCGAGAGCTGTAACTAGACACACAGGTCAGGGTGACAGATTCAGTAGGGTCGGCTATCAAACGAACATCATCCAGACCAATGTTTAACGGTAACGAAACTTGGACTGAAAAAGACAAGCGAATAATCAATGTAAAAACGACAAGAAATAACTTAGGTAAACTTATCAAATAAAATATCTCAATTTTACACTCCATTAGGTTTATTGAATCTGATTGGCTGAGAGCAATAATGCATTTTCAAGATCGAGCTGGGGTTTATGTCGGGGGGCGGGGGAAGAGAAAGTACATTTGATACAAATCCAAGATATATGGCCGCCCCTAATGAAAAGTGAAAAGCGGTCGATCTCGATGAACTTACGGAAAAATAGGGGACAGTGAACAACCTATAAGTAAACAGAGTGCAAACACGAGGAAATATAATTCAGTTATCAGAGAAAGAAACATTATGGCTGGCAAAAAAACAATACAATTGTTTAATAACCAATCACGTGCCGCAAATCTTTATTGGCCACTTTGAGGTTGCGCGTGAGACTGGGTTAAGGTGTTGTGTCGATCGAATTGCATTGTGGGGATGTTTTGTGGACGAATTTTGATCCAGTGAATTTTTGCCCTTTTGATACTTTTTTGAAAAACACACTCTCGCAAATAAATTGAAAATTGAACTCGAAGTTGTTGGACAACCCATACAAACACTGCCTGTCTACTGGCAAAAAGGTTTCCATTTCGATACAACCTTCACTCTTAAATGCAGTTAGCCTGCCACTAAATGTCTGAATCCCATTTCCTTTAAGCAGGCTAGAAAGTGCTGCATCATACCAAATAGCACTAAAGTACTTATTATGTGGCTAGCGGGCAAGATGAGGCACATTCCTTCTTCTCATTGATTAACCGAGGAAGCAAGATGGGGAGGAGTGTTGTATGACTAGACAAAAACGGCTGCGTGCGATACTAAGATTGACAAGATTAAGCTCGTTTTGATTATTCAAATTTTTAGGCTTAATTTACCTTTTAGCTTAAATTGCTATGTACATTTGAGCTTTTATTTTCTTTTTTAACATTCAGGGCATTGTAACGAGTTTTTGATCATATTTGCATGGAAAAGGCGCGTTATAAATTTTTAATTATTATTACTATTAATTATTGGCTGGATATGGCAGCACATGTATCCCCAGCACACGTATCCCATTAATTTAAATTTTTATAAATCCCCCTCTAACAAATTATACTTGCAATCCTTACAGCCAAACAAGTCCATTCTCATACACATTTTACCAGTATATGTTTTGGGAAATATTCTGACATATTGCGCTGCAAACGGGGGAGCAAACCAGTGGACAACAATGGTATTTCTGTCGCTGTTTCCAGTCAAATGCTGAGTGGTAGATCAAGAACAAAGTAAGTGGAGATATACAACTAACTTTATTTACAGGAGACCACAATCTGTGTGGTATATTCCCAAACCGACTGAAGGGGAGCGCTAGAGGTGATGGGAAGGAGGAATTTTTCTGCTTTTCCTTCCCATCACCCCTCGCGCTCCCTTCGATCACGCTTCTCGTGACTCTGGTCGAGTCACCCCAACTGAGGTTGCAAATGTCCGTTCAGGGGCCTGTTCCTCGACTGAAGTTCCGATAATTATCGGACAAACAAGAAAAGTTGTCAGGGATACATTAAGCACTAAGTAAATCTTCAGCTTTAAAGTAATAATCTTCTCTCTTTGATCTGTCGACTCAACATGTCTGACAAAAGACAAGATTTAAACATCCACTACCTAAAAGGTTGTGTGATTTTGTTTTTACTCGCTTGAAGTCTGCTTGAAAGTGTAAAAGAGTTATAGATATTAATGAGTCTGTATTTGCTTCGAATATTTAGTACGTTAGATAGTCACACACAGTTACTATACAAATAGGTTCATTAAGGGGCGTCAAAGTACAGGTTGTAATCGGACAATGCAGAACTAAACATTGGTGCATTGTTCGACTCCTACAACCTAAGTTTTGAGGCCAGAGACTCGTCACCACTTGCAACAAAGTTCGCAATATGATAATTTTCTGTCTCGAGCCCGAGGTCAGTTTTCAGTTCACCCATGTAACCAAAATGAGACGAAATACGGTAACAGACTGGACAACGGCAATTGGACGATTGCCAATCGTGAGACTTGTTCCGTCATAAGGCTTAATAATGCCTTCCGGAAAACTTTGCTCCAGGCGGCCAAAAAGAAATCTAGAAAACTACCGACCAGAGAAAACAACTTCTATCGCGTACGCTGATTTCAAGTAGGATTGTTTTATCACACGAACATGAGAATTGTTGGAAATGATCGCAGGTAGTGGTGTTCGTGGTAGGCCAGACAGCATTATAAACACATGATTTTAGGGTTTACCTCGGTGTAAAAAGCTGTGAAGGTTTTCTTTGTTTTCTAGTTATTATTTTCCTTGGCTCGATTGTGTTGGCTCCTCAGTGGCTCTTTGTATTCATTGTTTTACGTCACTCGTGAGTTTCAAAGGTTTTTACACCGAGGATGAGCCTGATTTTATGCCTACTGCAGCTTGTTAGAGGATTTGTGTACTCAAAATGTTATAACAAAGAAAAAAAGTAAAGTAAGCGAGCCCGAAATGAGAATATCGGGGAAAAAAATCCTGGAGGTCCCTTTAAGCAAATCCAGACAGATATATGAATACACGTTGCAGATTTACCTTTCCAGCACCGTAACTAATCCATGTTTTCTTATCGTATCTATAGCGGATTAAATAACTTGTCACCCAGTTGTTCCTTTGAGCATCTCCCTGAGTGGCCACGCCTGTGACTGTTACAATTTGATTGAAATCAGCCTGCAGGTACTGAGGTAGGGATACTGAAGAGCTACACCAACCGTGAGCATCATAAAGGCGACTAAAATGAGCTCGATAACTACTAACTTCTGAGGATGCTGTAATTGTGAATTCCCTGGTCGTTTGAAGTCGTTCATTCTTAAACGATTTAAAGCAACCTTTAAAAACATCAAGAAATATGGCATGTTTATTAAGAATTTGTATGTACTATTCAAAAACGAGCAGTTTCGATCATCTGGTTTTAAACCTGATAATACAGACTGCGAGTTTTTGAACGACTTCAAAATCTCTGATATAGATCAACTCATTCTTATACTGATATTTAGATTTGGGGTCGATTTTGGTGTACAAAATTGGACGTAAAGTTTAGCCGTGTCTTTATCAGATATGAAGACAGGGGCACCCAACGACGGTTTCCTCCTAAATGCATTGACAACACTTTTTAGGATATCCACAGTACTTTTAGATCTCTAGAAATGTATTCTAAGTAGAGCTAAAAATTTTTATCTGTTCGGTCATCCTAGGGCAGCTTGAATCTTTTCGAAATTACAAGGGCTTCTGCATTATTTTCCCGAAAATTTTAGCTGCAACTTAATTTAGAGTTTTACGAAAGTGAGAATTTTTCTCTGCATCGCATCTTGGTCCCAAAAATTTTAGGTTTAACTTTCCTTTCTCTTCTAAAACAAGGCTTAACCTGGTGAGTGAAATACAGAAAATCGTAGGGAATTTATTAGATATATAAGCTTCGAAAATTGTGCGTGAATGGAACAGTAATCTAAAAAATTCTGGACAATTTTTGCTTCTCCGAACAGATTTCACAGAAAACAGTCATTGGGTGTCCCTGTAAAGTCACTCATTAAAGTTTTAATTTTGTTTTTCTTTATGAATTATTAATCAGTTTTTGAACTCTTTTTCAAATTTCTATCCGTTTCATATTAGTTACAACGACAAAGAACGAAAAAAACGAGCAGGGACAAAATAAAACGAATCTAATTAAGCACTCTTTTCCTAAAGTAAAGGAGAAAACTAAACAGAGGGGAAACAAGAAAACGTGAAATAAGCATAGATGTACAAAGATTGGCCAGGCAGTAATATCGGGATGTTTTTGATTACGGAGATTTTTATCTCCATTTTCAAACAAATACGCAACCACACGTAGCATATTCGAATCGTAGTCACCCGTCCACACGAAAACGCTAAAACGATGGAAATACCATAGCTTCATTATTGAGCATGCGTTAAGCTAGAAATATGATATATGACATCACCGTATTCCGAATTCGAAACCGTTTCGTCCGTCGACACGTAAAAAAAGCCGACGTTTTCAAAAATCTAGACTCTGGAGAGCCTTTTTGAAAAGGTGCGTTTCGGTGATCAATTTCACTGCATCAGTAAGTGTGGAAGGTAGGCTCAACCGGAGAAAAAAATATCCGTTTTCAAACAAAAACGGATACGCGTGAACGGGGGTTTAGATAAGCAAAACTTACAACAACTTTGCGCGTGCATTAGGTATTTTTGTTTCTTTGCCGTCACTGCACGACAACGACGTGAAACTTCTTAATTTCACGTTTCATTGAGAATGTGAACACAAAACAACGATTTTCCTTTTCTTTTTTGTTTTTTTTAATTGAGATACAGACCTTTAGAACTCAACTCGCGAAAAATTCTCTAACATTTGGCAAATTTAGCGTGATGAAACAAAAGCGATAATGTTTGAAAGAGCGCTGATGCTTTTTTAAGTGAGGTTTTTTATGCCGTCGCCGTCGTGGTTGCATGCTTAACTTCCCTATTAAAACTGAACACTGAACTAAGTGGTCGGCACTGAGCCAGTTTCCTTGCATCGTATGTACAAACCAGAATTTAGCGACAGGGTTTAAGCTCAGTCAGTAGAACGTTCGATAGCAGAGCGGGAAGTCGCGAGTTCCATTCTCGGGGCCGGATCAATACACAAGGTCTTAAAATAACTGAGAAATGAAGGTACTCCCTTTGCTTTGCAAACAGATAGAACTTCGCGTGGCTGAGATGACAACGTAAAATGGCGGTCCCGTAAAAAATTGTGTTTCTTATTAGTACTTTCCTTCCATATACATTGACACTCAGAAAAAGTGCATTTTTTTAATGCTGTGGTTGTCTTTTGAACTGCATGTATTGGGTATGTACTAAGAGACCAACCTTGCTTAGATCCATACACCTCCACCCTTAATGCTTTCCTGTTGTGAAATGTAACTGGGTAAAAACGAATAAACTTGGCAGCAAGTGGCTCATATAGTTCACTTCTTACAATGCTGTTCCTGTCATCATTTCCAGTAAATACCTATAAGCGAATTAACAAAAATTTCTATAAAATGCTGTTGAAAGACAAATTCGTGCGTTTAGGTGTTTCATTCGCACGGAAACACGCTAACCATACGAAAATTTGAACGCCTAACCGTTCAAACATTTGAAATGAGAAAAATCAAGAGGTGTGAACACCATAACCATCTAAATTTTTGTCTAGCAAGGGCGTGGTCGCAGGGATGCGTGGTAACTCAGCTGGGAGACGCCATACTGGATTTCCGATGAAGTAGTGTTCTGCGCATGGGTAGATGGAAAAACAACTGAAAATAATTAAAATTAATTAAAATTCTGTGTCTGGTCAAATTTTTCAACCGGTCGAAAATTCGTCTGGTGCCTTTTTAACGTATCTTAAGTCTCACCCTACCCGCTAACGGTTAATAGCAGAAAAAAAAAACGTATAAACAAACGATATTTATGAGGATTGCAACTACGTTGACGATGACTCCCGCCGGCAGAACAATAGGCAAAGGATATTAAAAGGAAAACCACGTCTTTGTCAGTTTCTTTTACATTTTACTACTTATTTCCCTAACGTTTCCTATGTAAACAGTGAGAGACCAAGGACGGACGGCTGTAGCAATGAGGGGAAAAAGAAAGCAAGGCAGGAGACAGGAAGAAAAGAAGGGAACAACTAGAGACGGTGAAGATGGGAGAAGAGAAAGGAAAGCGAATGGAAGGGAGAGAAAGGGGACGAAAGCAACTTCGGCATGTGAAATCCTGGTTTCTCAAAGCTAAGAGGTAAACACAATCCTTCATTACTTAGTGTCTCCACGATTATAATTTCGCTATTACGTCACCTAGGGCGAAAAAAAATGTACCTTTTCGGAACCACCCTCTGAGTAGAATGTCCACTCGACATTATCCAGGGACGTCTTTATCTTGTATGTTTTTGTCCAATCATTACCATTTGGATTTCCTTGTGTTGCTACTCCACAAATAAAGTAAAGAGACCCCAGATCGATCTACAGGGAATCATTGTTGTCATTGTTTGGGGCAGGAATCCAGGCATTGGTTCCTTCTAATCGGCCATCAGATGGATTGCCTCCCCTAATAGAAGACGGAGCTGAAAACCTCTGATCAGAAATAACGCTACTATGCGACACTCCTACTGGATCAAGTACACAACCTAAAAAAATATATAAAAAAGTACACGACCTAAGTTTATGAAAAAAAGGAGGAAGAATTATTATTATTAACAATGTTATTGCTTTGATCTGGGGTTCCTTCCTGTTTTATTAAAAAAAAAACAACAACAACAACAACAACATAAGAAAAGTATAAAAGGGAAAAAGTATAATGGCTTCCATATTGAATTACGCCAAGTACATCCGCTTCTCGTTTGTAATCTATTGTCAATTTTGAGCTTCATACAGATGTTTCGATTTCGATCCAAAGTGACTGGAAGGCTTCATCAGATACCTCTTATAGTAGTATAGGAGGGATGTTTTAGGCCTCTTTTTTGAGGGGGCAATCTCATAAGGGTGGGGGGGGGAATACATTAACGTCGCTGACGTCATAGGTTATTGTATTGATCTCATGAATAAAATGCGTAGGAATCTCATTAAGATAAGGTCGTGTGTTATTTTTCGTTGGTTTAGGTTTCCTAGTTACTTTAATGTCGATAGACGTCTTCCTTTTCGATTGGTTAGTTAGAAAAGTAAGAAACGTTTTAATTGGTTAATTCATAGTGTCTGAGGAGTAAAGTCAAACTTGTCTGTGACTTAAAATCACTGAGACGTAACGTAATTATGCACTTCCTATTTCCTGCTGCTGTGATCGTCCTTGTTCCGGTTCACTGATTTTTGGCGGGCAAATCGTGTATATTAAAGAGGGTAAAGGCAAACTAGCTCTTTTTTACACTGCAAGCAATGTTTTACTTACCCCTCTCCTTTTCATTTTTTATTTTCCTCCTCCTCCACAATTTTATTATTTTCCTTCCTCAAATTTTTAATTCCCTCCTCCTCCTCCTCCTCCTCCTCCTCCTCCTCATTTTTATTGTTTTCCCTCCTCCTCCTCCTCCTCCACCACCTCCTCCTCATTTTTATTTTCCCTCCTCCTCCTCATTTTTATTGTTTTCCCTCCTCCTCCTCATTTTTTATTGTTTTCCCTCCTCCTTATGACGAGCTTTGAAGGGCGAAAAAATTTTATGCAAATTAGCTGGCTGCACATTCAATGTGCAGCCAGCTAATTTGCATAAGTAATTCAAAACCAAGGTCTGACAGCTCTAGGCTCTTGAGGTGTTAGCTGAATACCCTAGGACTTCCGTAAATTGCCCACAAAAGAGTAACTCAAGCTACCATAGACTGAAATGAAAGTAACCGCAATATCCGATTAAAGCAAGGTTTAAATCTTTTTCTGCTCGGCTAACCCTCTTCCGAGGCACTTACTATTTTGGTAATAATAAAACGCCATAAGCATTTTACATTGCGCCTTTTTCAGTCTCGGGCAGTAAGTTATAGTATGAAATAGAGGTAAACTCAAGAGTTCAGTTTTGTGACTGCCCTGCAACGTTGAAACTATTTAAGCCGCTTCCTAAAAGGCCGGGAAAATGTTTTTCGTAAAATTTCGTAAAGGTAGCTCCTTATACTCTAATTTAACATTACCAAATTTAACAAACGCGCTAACTACTTTATGGTCCTGTATCAGTATGTAAAGGCATTAAATCCTTATAAAGCCGACAGAAACAACAATTAACAGACAAGTACTAATATGATTTAAGATTTTCTTGTACTGCTTTTATATCAAGCAAATGAAATAGTCCTGGCGATATGTCATTATCGCAAAATCACCAAATTCAGAGGTTCCTAGATCACTAACAC